TTGTTGTTAAATCATTAAGACGTTCTTGAAAAAATTTACTTTTGTTTTCTATAGTCAAAATTAAAAATGCTGCTATCTGTTAAAATTAAAATTGAAAATAAGGAAGAAAATAGAGTTTTGAAGTAAACATTTTTGGTATTCCTTTTTAATTTTATTGAATCCATAAATGTTTTGAGGTACTATTATTAGTTTTCCGCCGTGCTTTTACAAAGTCCCTTTTAGGTATTCGACATTAAAGTTGTAGTTCGAATCGAATCAGAAATACCTTTTTCTCATCATTTATGAGTAATAAGGTTGGTGGTTCCGGATATCCGGAACCGAAAAAGCCCCGGATATCCGGAGATTTCTCAAAAACCTCCATCCCTTATGAGTAATCAAAACTTTTTTTAAAGAACTTTTTTTAATGATTTTTCGTTAAAAGTTACTTTTATGTACCTATTGTTTCTCATTTTTTCATTTCACTAGAAAAATGAGATTGAAGTCTTTCTGATATTTTTAAGATTTTTTTTGGTAATTAAGTGTGCTGATTCAAATTTTATTTTTTATTTCGAATCCCGACCTGAATTCGTCAGGTCGAATTTAATTCAGAAATTGAAAATTAAAATTCTACCTTTTGAGGGGGCACGACTTTTTCTCATTTTTTTTCTAGGGAAATGAAAAGATAAGAAAAAGGTGTCACATAAACTTAACTTTTACCCATTTTCTGTTTGTTAGCCCCTTTGAGCGTGTTATTTAATTATATTTTCGTGTTGATTTTTAAATATTTATTTTTCACGAATATTAATCCCAAATTTATCCCAAAATGTTTGATAATCATTTCCTCACCTTCCTCTTTTTAAAAACATCTCCAACAATTATAGTCAAAATTCTAGAAGAAACCAACAAATTTTTAGAATATTTCTTTAATTGTTTAAATATTTTTGTTGTTGATTCTTCTTCTAATATATTTAACTCTAATTCATTTGGAGGTATATTTAATGATTTAAATATGTCTACAAGAAGTTCATTTGGAATTGTTTTCTTTTGTTTATTTAAATTCATTTGTAAAATTTTGTACATAAACTTGAAAATTCTTTTTAAAAATTATTTAATTTAAACAAAAAAATAAAACATCAAAACAAAATTCAATTAAAGTAAAATGTCAATATTACATTCTGTCACTAAAATATGATGAAATAAAAAGGTGCGAAAATATAGGTTCATAAAGCAGGGCCACGATTGGCATAATGTTAGGTCAAAGGAAAATTTTTTTTCAAGAACAAAATTTTCAATTAAAAGGCTCTACAAATGGTGTCCGGAAAATTGGGCTCTGGAAAATTGGGCTCTGGAAAATTGGGCTCCAACTTTTCGGAAAATAGGGCTCCAGCGGAAATTTGGGCTCTACGTGAAAAAAACGGAAAATTGGGCTCCAATTTTTTAGGCGCGGGGAATTGTGGGCGTCAGAGTGAATTTTTAGATTTATTCGAAAAATATCTGGAATAACTATTTTTGTACTGTTACTTAGTGGGTAGTTCGGCATTTCAAAGCTGAAAATCAGTAAAAAGGAATAGGTTTATGTTACTGTTGTAGAACCCAGCGACCGTTGACTCCCTCGAGGCGCGTGCCGCAAAATCCCGCGCGAAGCGCGGGATTTTGCACAAGCGCCTCGCCGACGACCATAGGTTTACGTTGTTTGATTTTGTGTCATTTTTTGTTGAAATCCAAAAATTCACTCTGACGCCCACAATTCCCCGCGCCTAAAAAATTGGAGCTCAATTTTCCGTTTTTTTCACGTAGAGCCCAAATTTCCGCTGGAGTCCAATTTTCCGAAAAGTTGAAGCCCAATTTTCCGAAAAATCTTGGAGCCCAATTTTCCAGAGCCCAATTTCCCGGCACTCCTACAAATGACAATTTTCTAGCAGTGCTCAATTCTCTCACAAATGAATTTTTTAATCGAGAAAATGTTGCTTAACTATTTAGTCGGCATTTTTGGCGCAGGATTATTTTAAAGAAAGGTTCGCGCATTCGAACTAGTTTTTCTCTCATTTTTAAATACTCCTTTTGAAAAACCCTTATTTAAGACTGAGAAGTCGTTTTAATTAAAGCTAAACCTTTAGGAGGGGGTCGTACTTGATTGTTTCTTCTGTAGTACTTTTACCACTCGTCTCTTTAATCATTTCTTTTACTAAAGGATCTTTAGAAAGTCGATTAAATAGAAAACTAAAACTCTTAGTAGGTGAATACAACTTTAACCCAGTGGCCAACCAATTTGTAAAAACATTAAAATCGAGAAGTATCTTATAATTTTGGTGATATCTCGAGGTTGGTGATATCTCGAGGTAAAGTAAGAGCGATGTAAAATGTGTTGCTTAACTAGTCAGCTTTTTTCCCGGGCATTCTTCGATCCTACGACCTCCTGGCAGTTATTGCTATGCGCTTTCGCTCACCACGTACAGGTGCTCTACCAACTGAGCCACCGGTACGCTGTTTTCATCTTCTCTTTTAATAGATCTTAAGCGTTTTAAATGCTAGCCAGCTGGTCTCTTCCTTACAGTAATTATTTTCAAGTAAAACATTTGTAATTTATTTAGAACATTTAATTATTATCCTACAATATCCATACAAACAAACAAAGAAGAAATAAACAAACAACAAAAACAGCTAACAATAAATATTTAACTTTAGAAATTTTCTTTTTTACAATTCTTAATTCATCTAAATTTGCTTCAATGTCATGAAATCCTCCTATTTGATTAGCATTTTCTTCAGTTAATTCTTCTAATTGAGCTATTCTTTCTGTCAAATCGTTTAATTGTTCTCTAATAAAAATATTTTTCTTCTTTTCTAAAGTCGAAATTAAAATAGCTGCAATCTGCAAAAAATGTTGAGAAAATTAGTTTTTTAATTGGGTGGGGGCTAACTCGAGGAATTCCAAATCGCAAAACAGACAAGTCGAGGAACAGACAATTCACGGAATTACCAAAATAAGGAATATTTAATTCCGTGAAATGTCTGTTCCTCGACTTGTCTGTTTTGCGATTTGGAATTCCTCGAGTTAGCATGACATTATTTAATTACAAAAAATTAATTTCCTCACCTTCCTCTTTTTAAAAACATCTCCAACAATTATAGTCAAAATTCTAGAAGAAACCAACAAATTTTTAGAATATTTCTTTAATTGTTTAAATATTTTTGTTGTTGATTCTTCTTCTAATATATTTAACTCTAATTCATTTGGAGGTATATTTAATGATTTAAATATGTCTACAAGAAGTTCATTTGGAATTGTTTTTGACTTCTTTTGTTTATTTAAATTCATTTGTAAAATTTTCTAAAAAATATTAAAAATCACCTTAGAAAAGAAAAAAGTTTATTTTATTTTCACGCACTAATTAAAACTTTGAGGGAGTTAAAAGGGGAGAAGTGTATGAAAGTAATTAATGGGGGTTATGGTAATTAAATTAGGTATTCTGAAACTGCCTTTTATAGTAAAATCTTTAATTCAAATGTCGAGATTTTTTAATTGAAGAGTTTCTTTATTGGTTCCGTTTTAACGAATAAATCAAAAAGAATCTTGGTTATAGTTTTTTCCACAGCAAGGATTCATCCTTTTCAATGTTGGGAACCCCTCTAATCTCAGGAACCTCACTAAATTCCTGTTCTTAATTTTAATCAGGGACTTAAAGGAATTTTAGTAAAAAATTTTAACAAAAAAAAAAGATTTTTCAAAAATTTACCCAAAAAAGTACCTTTTATCCAATCCATTGCTTCGTAATATTCCCACCGCGAAGCATTTCCAAGTGGAAATAAAAAAGAACCAAATGCAGAGTTTAGTAATCAAACCCCAATATTTAAATATAATAATAGTGAAACTAGACAAACCCAGGGAAAACTAAGAAACTTTCAAAAAATTATTTAAAAAATTATCAAAAAATTTTATTAGAAAAATTTAAAAATACCCTCTGATCCATCCAACAAAACTGCATCTCTTCGAAAAAGACAACCTTTTAAATTTAAAAAATTAAGAAAATTTTTCTAAATTTAAAAGTTGTACAATTGGTGATGCCATTAAAAGAGAAACTAAGGGCTGCTCCAGATTTCCAGCCTTAAAAAATAATTTAAATTAAGATTGGAGGTTGAGAGGGAGGAGTAAAAGAAACTATTGAAGGAGGCTGTGTTTGTGACTGCAGTTAGAAAACAGTAACAATTTATTTCACCCAAAATTCCTCACACTAGCCAAAAGTTCCCTTTCAATGGTTGGATTGACACGACAAGATAGGAAAGAGAACGCCCCCACCAAAAGGTTAATAAAACAGGAGGAAATTTGGAAGTCAAACCCCAAAAAGCTCTAAAATAATATAAAAATCTTCTAAAGAAAAAAACAAACTCTGTTCCGAAAGCAAAGGGAAGTCCAGATTGAACACGCAATGGAGGAGATTTAAATGCATCTTTTGGTTGATGAATCAATTTTGGGGCGGATATAGGCAATTCAAATCGATGCTTAAAATTAAATAATATGAGACGTTCTGAGAGATTTACTTTGGTTTGTAAACAAAAATGTAGTTCTGGATTTTAAGGATCGGTTTTGGTATTAAATTTTAATCAGAGAAAAATGATATGGGTGGATTATTGGAGTAAAGACCGAAAAGCCTAGAAAAGGCACTTCAAGACGAAGAATGAAAACCCCTAGGAAATATTAGGTCAAAACTAAGGACCAAGAATTTCGCTAAAAAATAATTATATAATTTTTGGCACGGCTTGGATTGTCGACTGTTATCTTAAAATCAAAGACCCTAATGATTCTAACTGATACGATTTCCCCCGAAATTTTTTTAATTTAAAATATAATTATAAATTTATACATTTCCAACAAAAGTAGAACCATAAGGAATGCACAAATATTGAACAATTGAAGACATTTTCTGTAGGCATTCCTAAATACATAACTCTTCTCCTCAAACTATCCCAAAAGGAAATGTTGAATATTTGTTGGTGGTTATTGTAAGAATTGTGTTGACGCTCTTGATTTGAAAAGAAATTGCTTCTTTAATAAAAATAAAAAAAAATTTTTAATTGAAAAAATTAAAAAAAGAACGTAGAAAATTCTCATGTTGACAAAATTGGCCAAAAAATAGAAAAACAGCATCAATATAAATGTTTCTTAAAGATTTGAGCCAAGTGTAATTTCCATATGTAGGGGAATGTAAATTTCTTAAAACATTCTGAATCTAATAAAATCATTAAAAATTTTTAAATTTTAACTATTAAATTACTTACAAAATACATATAAATTTATTAAATCTAATAAAATCAGGCCAATTTGGACAAGTGTGAAAAGAAAATGTGAGGGATTTGTTGGTGAAAATTCATAGAGAGAGAAAAGCGCCTTTAAGTAAAAAAGGGAGGGAGAAGAGGAAAGGGCAATGATTGACTCAAAAAAACAAATTTGGGAGGTGAAAGGAAGAAGAGTCAATTTAAAATAAAAATTTAGAAAAATATGGTCGGGTTGCTTCAAATAATCCCTGGTCATTAAATCCACTCACTAAAGGATTAAACTTAGTTGAAAGGCTATAATTTATTATTACTCCAACAATATCGAATCCCGTATTCCTAGGTATTGGTCAAGAACTCCTGAAATAGTACTCTTGACTGAAGGCATTGAGAATTTTATATAAACTTTAAGGTAGAAAACCTGACAAAAAATTTTTTGAAGTTTGAATGTAGGAAACACATATTCAATCCATCAAGTAATTGCACCATTGCTGTCTAATGAAGCCTGTAAATGGAAGGAAAATAAACTTATCGATAAAAAGAAAACCTGATTTACTAAATTTTTTGCACCGGGTTAGGCAAACGGTCTGGATAAATAAATTTATGTAAAAACTTTTAATAAATTATTTAACCTCTTTTGCTTTTTTTAACCTTTAGCCACTTATCCTCTTCAAATTTAGAATCCTTCCCTCACACTCATTGCTAGGCTGCACCCTCCTCCCCCTCTTTGGTTTTAACAAGACGGTGGAATTGCACAGAAAAATCTAAAATTTTTAAAGATAAACAACGATTCTGAATCGGATTAAAAGAAAAGATTTCAAACAACATATTTATTTAAACAAAAAATTTTTTAAATAACAATTTTTTGAGGCCCTCCAAAAAAAATTTGAAAACATTAACAATTTACTTCCTTCTTAAATTACTGTCCATTTAGGCCTCTTCTTATTCCATGTTCCCATCAGTGCCTTTGCGCAAATAATCTAAAATTTTTGTATTAAAAACTAAAGGATATTTAAAAAGGTTCGCCGAAAATACATAAATTAAATAAAACAAATTTAAATTTTACTAAAAGATAAAAATTTTTTCAGAAATTTGTTCAAAAGAGTACCTATTAACCAATCCATTGCTTGGTAATATTCCCAACCCGAAGCCTTTCCAGTGCCCTTGACCTCTGCGAGTTCTTGAATAAATACCGAGCGTAAGTCGTTCCAGCGCTTTTTGACATCTTCCGGATTCTTTCCAAGAGCTCTTCCAATTTTCTCCCAATGGTATTCAGCGAACTTATAATTAGTACTAGACGCCGTATCATATAAAGGACGAATTTTCTTAACCGCCTTAATTTTTAAAAATTAATGAGACAGTTAATCTTTTAGTGGAAATAAAAAAAGAACTGAATGCTGAGTCTAACAATACAATTTTTGGCCTAACTACACTTTATGGGTCTGATCACGATTTGGATGCTTTATAAGTCATTCGGAAGAGCTCGGCGAGCTGAGTCAAAAGGCACCAAAATTAGCCAGCGGACTCAACATGAGCCGAGATATAGGGCTCGAAATGGTCAAATTTGTGGGGAAATGGTCAATTTGTCCAAATCGGAATCAGACGCATAATCTGTAGTTTAGCCGAATTTTTAATATTTAAAACAATATCAAAATTTACTGCCCCGTTTAAAACCAAAATTCCTAAGAAAACTAACTTCAATAAGTTGGAATTCGTATCCAATATTCTCTTCCTTTGCCGCTGCACTAGAACAAGTTGCTTTAGTGGAAAGACCCTTTTGAGTTGCACCAGAAGTTGTTTGAGTAGAAGGAAATTGTTTGTAATCATCCTGAAACAAAATAACATGATCTTTCATAATCAATAAACAAGTTTTATTACAAAAATTAAATGCTTATTTTTTAGTAAATTAAAGCTATTTGAGAGCAATTTATAAAGTCATAAATTAACTAGCTTAAAACAACTTTAAAAAGATACCTCAATTTTTTGTAACTGTTCTGCCGTAGCTTTAGTTCGAGCTAAGCGCAGAGCCTCATCCCAAAAGTCACAATTTTTGTAGAAATCCAACATAATGTCGACACGACCACAATCAACAAGGTAACCTTCAATAAGGCTGAAGTTATTCTAAAAAATGGATATGTTTTATGGTAAATGACGATTAAAATTAAAATTCAAAATTATAAATAATTAAAGAGCTCACACGAGCGATTTCGCGCTTAAATTGAGCAATTTGCGCCAATATAAGTGAGTGTTCACGTTTCTCACCCACTAACACTGTGTGCAATGCAGTTGTCAACTCTAACACCGCGTCCTTCATCTTCGATTCCGTTTTAACTTTGCTTAACTCCTCTTGAAGCTCCAAAATTTTTTTATCCTGTTCTGTCATTTCTACTAAAATTAATTAATCCTAAACACATTAAACTTAATTCAAAAAGACCCTCCACCCACAAAAAAAGAAATGGACCCCTCAAACTGAAAATGGTTCCCTAACGTTTCGTCACTGAACTTTTCGTCACCGAACCTTTCGTCAAAACCTTTCGTCACTGAACCTTCCGTCACCAAACTTTTCGTCACTGAACCTTTCGTCACTATTCACCATAAAAAAGAGAAAGCACATCTGGATGGACAAATTTAACAAAATAGATTTATGGAAATTAAGTTGAATAAAAGAAAGTTCTAGGCTCTGACATTTGTGCCTATTAATGAGGTTTACACATTTATGTGTATTTTAATGGACGTGCTAATGGGTCCTCCTGCAGATGAAGTTTTGGTAATATAACATTGAGTAGTTGTATTTATACACAATATAGGAACTTCTAAAATATTTCGTTCTCACATATATTGGCCCATCATATGTAGTTGCTCATCCAGAAATATTGCCTGGCGATGATGAGGAGGCCACTTATGGCGACGGTTGCGATGGTTGGCTTAGGGCGTGGATAAACCACGAACAGATTTAAGAGAATTTTGGAGTTCCTTAAGCCAGATTTCTTCATTTTTTGCGCCACAGGCGAAAATTTTGAGAATCACTAGAGTAAGAATGCTTGGGATATGCTAATTTAAAAATCCCGAAAATTATAAAATAATGTCCGGGATCCCGAGTCGGGATTTTATTTTTTAAAATGTTCAAAATACTGCAATTTATATTAAATAATATTAAATTTGTTCTCAGGAACCTCACTAAATTCCTGTTCTTAATTTTAATCAGGGACTTAAAGGAATTTTAGTAAAAAATTTTAACAAAAAAAAATTTTTTTCAAAAATTTACCCAAAAAAGTACCTTTTATCCAATCCATTGCTTCGTAATATTCCCACCGCGAAGCATTTCCAAGTGGAAATAAAAAAGAACCAAATGCAGAGTTTAGTAATCAAACCCCAATATTTAAATATAATAATAGTGAAACTAGACAAACCCAGGGAAAACTAAGAAACTTTCAAAAAATTATTTAAAAAATTATCAAAAAATTTTATTAGAAAAATTTAAAAATACCCTCTGATCCATCCAACAAAACTGCATCTCTTCGAAAAAGACAACCTTTTAAATTTAAAAAATTAAGAAAATTTTTCTAAATTTAAAAGTTGTACAATTGGTGATGCCATTAAAAGAGAAACTAAGGGCTGCTCCAGATTTCCAGCCTTAAAAAATAATTTAAATTAAGATTGGAGGTTGAGAGGGAGGAGTAAAAGAAACTATTGAAGGAGGCTGTGTTTGTGACTGCAGTTAGAAAACAGTAACAATTTATTTCACCCAAAATTCCTCACACTAGCCAAAAGTTCCCTTTCAATGGTTGGATTGACACGACAAGATAGGAAAGAGAACGCCCCCACCAAAAGGTTAATAAAACAGGAGGAAATTTGGAAGTCAAACCCCAAAAAGCTCTAAAATAATATAAAAATCTTCTAAAGAAAAAAACAAACTCTGTTCCGAAAGCAAAGGGAAGTCCAGATTGAACACGCAATGGAGGAGATTTAAATGCATCTTTTGGTTGATGAATCAATTTTGGGGCGGATATAGGCAATTCAAATCGATGCTTAAAATTAAATAATATGAGACGTTCTGAGAGATTTACTTTGGTTTGTAAACAAAAATGTAGTTCTGGATTTTAAGGATCGGTTTTGGTATTAAATTTTAATCAGAGAAAAATGATATGGGTGGATTATTGGAGTAAAGACCGAAAAGCCTAGAAAAGGCACTTCAAGACGAAGAATGAAAACCCCTAGGAAATATTAGGTCAAAACTAAGGACCAAGAATTTCGCTAAAAAATAATTATATAATTTTTGGCACGGCTTGGATTGTCGACTGTTATCTTAAAATCAAAGACCCTAATGATTCTAACTGATACGATTTCCCCCGAAATTTTTTTAATTTAAAATATAATTATAAATTTATACATTTCCAACAAAAGTAGAACCATAAGGAATGCACAAATATTGAACAATTGAAGACATTTTCTGTAGGCATTCCTAAATACATAACTCTTCTCCTCAAACTATCCCAAAAGGAAATGTTGAATATTTGTTGGTGGTTATTGTAAGAATTGTGTTGACGCTCTTGATTTGAAAAGAAATTGCTTCTTTAATAAAAATAAAAAAAAATTTTTAATTGAAAAAATTAAAAAAAGAACGTAGAAAATTCTCATGTTGACAAAATTGGCCAAAAAATAGAAAAACAGCATCAATATAAATGTTTCTTAAAGATTTGAGCCAAGTGTAATTTCCATATGTAGGGGAATGTAAATTTCTTAAAACATTCTGAATCTAATAAAATCATTAAAAATTTTTAAATTTTAACTATTAAATTACTTACAAAATACATATAAATTTATTAAATCTAATAAAATCAGGCCAATTTGGACAAGTGTGAAAAGAAAATGTGAGGGATTTGTTGGTGAAAATTCATAGAGAGAGAAAAGCGCCTTTAAGTAAAAAAGGGAGGGAGAAGAGGAAAGGGCAATGATTGACTCAAAAAAACAAATTTGGGAGGTGAAAGGAAGAAGAGTCAATTTAAAATAAAAATTTAGAAAAATATGGTCGGGTTGCTTCAAATAATCCCTGGTCATTAAATCCACTCACTAAAGGATTAAACTTAGTTGAAAGGCTATAATTTATTATTACTCCAACAATATCGAATCCCGTATTCCTAGGTATTGGTCAAGAACTCCTGAAATAGTACTCTTGACTGAAGGCATTGAGAATTTTATATAAACTTTAAGGTAGAAAACCTGACAAAAAATTTTTTGAAGTTTGAATGTAGGAAACACATATTCAATCCATCAAGTAATTGCACCATTGCTGTCTAATGAAGCCTGTAAATGGAAGGAAAATAAACTTATCGATAAAAAGAAAACCTGATTTACTAAATTTTTTGCACCGGGTTAGGCAAACGGTCTGGATAAATAAATTTATGTAAAAACTTTTAATAAATTATTTAACCTCTTTTGCTTTTTTTAACCTTTAGCCACTTATCCTCTTCAAATTTAGAATCCTTCCCTCACACTCATTGCTAGGCTGCACCCTCCTCCCCCTCTTTGGTTTTAACAAGACGGTGGAATTGCACAGAAAAATCTAAAATTTTTAAAGATAAACAACGATTCTGAATCGGATTAAAAGAAAAGATTTCAAACAACATATTTATTTAAACAAAAAATTTTTTAAATAACAATTTTTTGAGGCCCTCCAAAAAAAATTTGAAAACATTAACAATTTACTTCCTTCTTAAATTACTGTCCATTTAGGCCTCTTCTTATTCCATGTTCCCATCAGTGCCTTTGCGCAAATAATCTAAAATTTTTGTATTAAAAACTAAAGGATATTTAAAAAGGTTCGCCGAAAATACATAAATTAAATAAAACAAATTTAAATTTTACTAAAAGATAAAAATTTTTTCAGAAATTTGTTCAAAAGAGTACCTATTAACCAATCCATTGCTTGGTAATATTCCCAACCCGAAGCCTTTCCAGTGCCCTTGACCTCTGCGAGTTCTTGAATAAATACCGAGCGTAAGTCGTTCCAGCGCTTTTTGACATCTTCCGGATTCTTTCCAAGAGCTCTTCCAATTTTCTCCCAATGGTATTCAGCGAACTTATAATTAGTACTAGACGCCGTATCATATAAAGGACGAATTTTCTTAACCGCCTTAATTTTTAAAAATTAATGAGACAGTTAATCTTTTAGTGGAAATAAAAAAAGAACTGAATGCTGAGTCTAACAATACAATTTTTGGCCTAACTACACTTTATGGGTCTGATCACGATTTGGATGCTTTATAAGTCATTCGGAAGAGCTCGGCGAGCTGAGTCAAAAGGCACCAAAATTAGCCAGCGGACTCAACATGAGCCGAGATATAGGGCTCGAAATGGTCAAATTTGTGGGGAAATGGTCAATTTGTCCAAATCGGAATCAGACGCATAATCTGTAGTTTAGCCGAATTTTTAATATTTAAAACAATATCAAAATTTACTGCCCCGTTTAAAACCAAAATTCCTAAGAAAACTAACTTCAATAAGTTGGAATTCGTATCCAATATTCTCTTCCTTTGCCGCTGCACTAGAACAAGTTGCTTTAGTGGAAAGACCCTTTTGAGTTGCACCAGAAGTTGTTTGAGTAGAAGGAAATTGTTTGTAATCATCCTGAAACAAAATAACATGATCTTTCATAATCAATAAACAAGTTTTATTACAAAAATTAAATGCTTATTTTTTAGTAAATTAAAGCTATTTGAGAGCAATTTATAAAGTCATAAATTAACTAGCTTAAAACAACTTTAAAAAGATACCTCAATTTTTTGTAACTGTTCTGCCGTAGCTTTAGTTCGAGCTAAGCGCAGAGCCTCATCCCAAAAGTCACAATTTTTGTAGAAATCCAACATAATGTCGACACGACCACAATCAACAAGGTAACCTTCAATAAGGCTGAAGTTATTCTAAAAAATGGATATGTTTTATGGTAAATGACGATTAAAATTAAAATTCAAAATTATAAATAATTAAAGAGCTCACACGAGCGATTTCGCGCTTAAATTGAGCAATTTGCGCCAATATAAGTGAGTGTTCACGTTTCTCACCCACTAACACTGTGTGCAATGCAGTTGTCAACTCTAACACCGCGTCCTTCATCTTCGATTCCGTTTTAACTTTGCTTAACTCCTCTTGAAGCTCCAAAATTTTTTTATCCTGTTCTGTCATTTCTACTAAAATTAATTAATCCTAAACACATTAAACTTAATTCAAAAAGACCCTCCACCCACAAAAAAAGAAATGGACCCCTCAAACTGAAAATGGTTCCCTAACGTTTCGTCACTGAACTTTTCGTCACCGAACCTTTCGTCAAAACCTTTCGTCACTGAACCTTCCGTCACCAAACTTTTCGTCACTGAACCTTTCGTCACTATTCACCATAAAAAAGAGAAAGCACATCTGGATGGACAAATTTAACAAAATAGATTTATGGAATTTAACAAAATAGATTTTTTTTTAACAAAAAAAAATTTTTTTCAAAAATTTACCCAAAAAAGTACCTTTTATCCAATCCATTGCTTCGTAATATTCCCACCGCGAAGCATTTCCAAGTGGAAATAAAAAAGAACCAAATGCAGAGTTTAGTAATCAAACCCCAATATTTAAATATAATAATAGTGAAACTAGACAAACCCAGGGAAAACTAAGAAACTTTCAAAAAATTATTTAAAAAATTATCAAAAAATTTTATTAGAAAAATTTAAAAATACCCTCTGATCCATCCAACAAAACTGCATCTCTTCGAAAAAGACAACCTTTTAAATTTAAAAAATTAAGAAAATTTTTCTAAATTTAAAAGTTGTACAATTGGTGATGCCATTAAAAGAGAAACTAAGGGCTGCTCCAGATTTCCAGCCTTAAAAAATAATTTAAATTAAGATTGGAGGTTGAGAGGGAGGAGTAAAAGAAACTATTGAAGGAGGCTGTGTTTGTGACTGCAGTTAGAAAACAGTAACAATTTATTTCACCCAAAATTCCTCACACTAGCCAAAAGTTCCCTTTCAATGGTTGGATTGACACGACAAGATAGGAAAGAGAACGCCCCCACCAAAAGGTTAATAAAACAGGAGGAAATTTGGAAGTCAAACCCCAAAAAGCTCTAAAATAATATAAAAATCTTCTAAAGAAAAAAACAAACTCTGTTCCGAAAGCAAAGGGAAGTCCAGATTGAACACGCAATGGAGGAGATTTAAATGCATCTTTTGGTTGATGAATCAATTTTGGGGCGGATATAGGCAATTCAAATCGATGCTTAAAATTAAATAATATGAGACGTTCTGAGAGATTTACTTTGGTTTGTAAACAAAAATGTAGTTCTGGATTTTAAGGATCGGTTTTGGTATTAAATTTTAATCAGAGAAAAATGATATGGGTGGATTATTGGAGTAAAGACCGAAAAGCCTAGAAAAGGCACTTCAAGACGAAGAATGAAAACCCCTAGGAAATATTAGGTCAAAACTAAGGACCAAGAATTTCGCTAAAAAATAATTATATAATTTTTGGCACGGCTTGGATTGTCGACTGTTATCTTAAAATCAAAGACCCTAATGATTCTAACTGATACGATTTCCCCCGAAATTTTTTTAATTTAAAATATAATTATAAATTTATACATTTCCAACAAAAGTAGAACCATAAGGAATGCACAAATATTGAACAATTGAAGACATTTTCTGTAGGCATTCCTAAATACATAACTCTTCTCCTCAAACTATCCCAAAAGGAAATGTTGAATATTTGTTGGTGGTTATTGTAAGAATTGTGTTGACGCTCTTGATTTGAAAAGAAATTGCTTCTTTAATAAAAATAAAAAAAAATTTTTAATTGAAAAAATTAAAAAAAGAACGTAGAAAATTCTCATGTTGACAAAATTGGCCAAAAAATAGAAAAACAGCATCAATATAAATGTTTCTTAAAGATTTGAGCCAAGTGTAATTTCCATATGTAGGGGAATGTAAATTTCTTAAAACATTCTGAATCTAATAAAATCATTAAAAATTTTTAAATTTTAACTATTAAATTACTTACAAAATACATATAAATTTATTAAATCTAATAAAATCAGGCCAATTTGGACAAGTGTGAAAAGAAAATGTGAGGGATTTGTTGGTGAAAATTCATAGAGAGAGAAAAGCGCCTTTAAGTAAAAAAGGGAGGGAGAAGAGGAAAGGGCAATGATTGACTCAAAAAAACAAATTTGGGAGGTGAAAGGAAGAAGAGTCAATTTAAAATAAAAATTTAGAAAAATATGGTCGGGTTGCTTCAAATAATCCCTGGTCATTAAATCCACTCACTAAAGGATTAAACTTAGTTGAAAGGCTATAATTTATTATTACTCCAACAATATCGAATCCCGTATTCCTAGGTATTGGTCAAGAACTCCTGAAATAGTACTCTTGACTGAAGGCATTGAGAATTTTATATAAACTTTAAGGTAGAAAACCTGACAAAAAATTTTTTGAAGTTTGAATGTAGGAAACACATATTCAATCCATCAAGTAATTGCACCATTGCTGTCTAATGAAGCCTGTAAATGGAAGGAAAATAAACTTATCGATAAAAAGAAAACCTGATTTACTAAATTTTTTGCACCGGGTTAGGCAAACGGTCTGGATAAATAAATTTATGTAAAAACTTTTAATAAATTATTTAACCTCTTTTGCTTTTTTTAACCTTTAGCCACTTATCCTCTTCAAATTTAGAATCCTTCCCTCACACTCATTGCTAGGCTGCACCCTCCTCCCCCTCTTTGGTTTTAACAAGACGGTGGAATTGCACAGAAAAATCTAAAATTTTTAAAGATAAACAACGATTCTGAATCGGATTAAAAGAAAAGATTTCAAACAACATATTTATTTAAACAAAAAATTTTTTAAATAACAATTTTTTGAGGCCCTCCAAAAAAAATTTGAAAACATTAACAATTTACTTCCTTCTTAAATTACTGTCCATTTAGGCCTCTTCTTATTCCATGTTCCCATCAGTGCCTTTGCGCAAATACACTAAAATTTTTGTATTAAAACATAAAGGATATTTAAAAAGGGACGCCGAAAATACATAAATTAAATAAAACAAATTTAAATTTTACTAAAAGATAAAAATTTTTTCAGAAATTTGTTCAAAAAAGTACCTCTTATCCAACTCATTGCTTGGTAATATTCCCACCGCGAAGCCTTTCCAGTGCTCTTGACCTTTGCGAGTTCTTGAATAAATACCGAGCGTAAGTCGTTCCAGCGCTTTTTGACATCTTCCGGATTCTTTCCAAGAGCCTTTCCAATTTTCTCCCAATGGTATTCATCGAACTTATAATTAGTACAAGACGCCGTATCATATAAACGACGAATTTTCTTAACCGCCTTAATTTTTAAAAATTAATGAGACAGTTAATCTTTTAGTGGAAATAAAAAAGAACTGAATGCTGAGTCTAACAATACAATTTTTGGCCTAACTACACTTTATGGGTCTGATCACGATTTGGATGCTTTATAAGTCATTCGGAAGAGCTCGGCGAGCTGAGTCAAAAGGCACCAAAATTAGCTCGCGGACTCAACTATGAGCCGAGATATAGGGCTCGAAATGGTCAAATTTGTGGGGAAATGGTCAATTTGTCCAAATCGGAATCAGACGCATAATCTGTAGTTTAGCCGAATTTTTAATATTTAAAACAATATCAAAATTTACTGCCCCGTTTAAAACCAAAATTCCTAAGAAAACTAACTTCAATAAGTTGGAATTCGTATCCAATATTCTCTTCCTTTGCCGCTGCACTAGAACAAGTTGCTTTAGTGGAAAGACCCTTTTGAGTTGCACCAGAAGTTGTTTGAGTAGAAGGAAATTGTTTGTAATCATCCTGAAACAAAATAACATGATCTTTCATAATCAATAAACAAGTTTTATTACAAAAATTAAATGCTTATTTTTTAGTAAATTAAAGTTTTTTGAGAGCAATTTATAAAGTCATAAATTAACTAGCTTAAAACAACTTTAAAAAGATACCTCAATTTTTTGTAACTGTTCTGCCGTAGCTTTAGTTCGAGCTAAGCGCAGAGCCTCATCCCAAAAGTCACAATTTTTGTAGAAATCCAACATAATGTCGACACGACCACAATCAACAAGGTAACCTTCAATAAGGCTGAAGTTATTCTAAAAAATGGATATGTTTTATGGTAAATGACGATTAAAATTAAAATTCAAAATTATAAATAATTAAAGAGCTCACACGAGCGATTTCGCGCTTAAATTGAGCAATTTGCGCCAATATAAGTGAGTGTTCACGTTTCTCACCCACTAACACAGTGTGCAATGCAGTTGTCAACTCTAACACCGCGTCCTTCATCTTCGATTCCGTTTTAACTTTGCTTAACTCCTCTTGAAGCTCCAAAATTTTTTTATCCTGTTCTGTCATCTCTACTAAAATTAATTAATCCTAAACACATTAAACTTAATTCAAAAAGACCCTCCACCCACAAAAAAAGAAATGGACCCCTCAAACTGAAAATGGATTGTTTTAAAAAAATTTGATATGGACACATCGACAATTTTGCACTTTGATATTTTGACACTTTGAATTTTAAAAGGGACACACCAGTCTGAACTAGAGATCGTCGTGTTTGCGTGATCCCGCGTGCGGGATTTTTTAAAATATTTGCGGGACGGGATCCCGCGGGATAAATCTCGAAAAATTCGAAATCGCGCGAAATCCCGCAAAACGAAGAGTACGGGAGTGAGGGAGGGGATTCCGCAAAATCCCGCGCCGGTTGGGGTCACTAGAGTGCCGCCACTAGAGTGCTACCACTAGAGAGCGGGCCACTAGAGTGCCAATAGTATAAAATCCTAAAAATGTTTTTAAGAAATAACAATGTTCCAACTACAGAGGAAGGTTGTTCCAATGACGGTGGAAGTTGTTCAAATGCCAGGGAATCTTGTTCCAATAACGGGGGTGGTTATTCAAATGACGGGGGTGGTTATTCAAACGACGGGGGAGTTTGTTCAAATGACGGCAGCTCTCTAGTGCCCGCTCTCTAGTGGCCCCCCTGTGCCGACCTCTGTGCCGACCTCTAGTTAAAATCGCGAATAGGCTAAAAAGGGGTTGAAATTAGAGATCGGAACGGGTCCGGGACCCGGACCCGTTTCCCGGTTTTCGGGTCCCTTTTCCCGGTTTTTTTGAAGCATCTCTTTTCGTTTAATTCTATTGCGATGCCAACTTGTCTTTATAATTATTCATTTTGAAAAAAATTCACGTAAAATCTACTTAACGCCGAGATTACGCATAATTATTCTTCTAGTAATACTCGAATTGTTTTTTTGTGAAAGAAAATTTTTTAAAAAACGTTTACTGCCTAAATCACTACTGCCCATATCACTCACTGCCCAAATCATTCACTGGCGAAATCACCAGACTCGGATTCGATATTTAATCATTCCATATTTTAACGATTCGGTATTTTAACCCCTTTTTAGCCTATTCGCGATTTTAACCATTCCATATTTTAACGATTCCATATTTTGTACCGGAGCCTTTTTCCTGACTAACAAATAAGGGCTTGCTACTTTATAACCCGCTCCTTTTCCGCACCTTTTCTTTTTTTAAATGTTTCTCCAACAGCTAAGTAAATTATTTTTGAACAAGTCACCAAATTTGTTGTGTATTTATTCCAAAAATTTTCAGACTTATCCATAATGTTTTGTAGTTCTGATTCATTTGGACAAGTATTGACAGCTCTCAAAATATTAACAATTAATTCATTGGGTATTGCTTTACTAAATTTTTGTTGGTTTTGTTGTTCTTTCATATTTTTTAAATTTTTTTACATTTTTTGGATTGTTTAGAAAGGTATTTTCCGTTTATTAATTAAATATCAGACAATTTTATTTCCTCAATATAAAAACGAGTCAAGGTAGAATAGAGGAGTGGTCTCATTGTCCTTGTTTTTTTTTCTAGATAGGCAAATTTCCCAAAGTATTTTAACAATTAATTTTTAAACAAAAAGTTTATTTTTTTAATATTTTTGGAAAACAAAAAAATTAATTCTGATTTTTTCTGATTTTAAGATCTTTTTTGTTGTTGTATTTCAAATTTATCTTTAGTAATAATTTTATTTTTCCCTTAATACTTTGACTTGTTTATTTATGCAAACACATTTTATTTATTTAAAAGATGTAGAAATTTTTATAGAAATTTCCAAAAAATTATCAAAAAAATTTTCCCTATTTTCAGAATGTATTCTTCCTTATTTACTACTATTTTTTACTCATTTTTCAATTATTCTTTGTCTATATTCAAAAATACTAATAAATTCATTCCCATTAATTAGACTTTTGGCACTATATGAAATGAGGTCGATAATCGTTTTTTTCATTACTTTTTTCTAGAGCCCGGCTCGATACGATATTTTTTCGATATTTTTCGATATATATTCGATATTATCGAAAATATATCGACCGAAAAAATTTAAAAATCGAAACAATCGACCGACCAAATTACAAAAAATCGAAAAAAATATCGAACGTCATTTTTGACAAAAATTTGAATTTTTGGCACCAAAAAGGATGCATTTTTGCTTTTTGACCATCGGAAATTCAAAAAATTTTCGCCTTCGCCGCAGATAAAGGAAGAATCTTGCTCGATGGCCTTCCAAAAATCTTTAAATTTTTTCCTGCGTCGCTGAAAATGAAAAAATTTTGTAACTTGACCTTCCGAGATTCTCATAAGTGTCCGTAGAATAAATTCAAGGGCAAGGTTACCCGGATAGCTGCAGCGCCGACTTGACCCTAAACAAAGGGTTTGGCGCCGCTACCCGCTTCTCATTCTCCCTATTTGGGAAAAAATTCATAACTTATTTTTTAAAATGGAGATAAAAATTTCATTTTTTGCCAAAATATAAATTGGAATGTTAACTATGGTTTACCAAAAAATCAAAAATTTTGATTGACTTATTTAAAAGTCGAGGGATCAAGTTGTAGCTTTGGGAGAGATGGATTTCAAAACGGATATCAATATCCACCTTAATTCCTTAATATCCATTATCCCTAGTTAAAATCCACTTATATCCCACTTGATCCTTCGATATCAAGTACAAGTCCATTGATATTACATTTAATCCGACCAACTTTACCAATATCCATTTAATCAATCTTAATCTCATTAAACTTTTAGGTCTATTCTGGTATACATTGGTTATCGAAAAATTTTTGAAAAATCGAAAAATATCGAGACTTTTTTTTCGATATTTTTCGGGTTCGATAGTTTTCGATATTCATCGAAAAAATATCGACCGAGAAAATTTTGGTAAATTTTGGTAAACATTTTTAATTAATTTATATATTTCTAACATTCAATTTTTATCCTATAATATCCAAATAAACAAACAAATAAGGAATAAACAAACAACAAAAACAGCTAACAACAAATATTTAACTTTAGAAATTTTCTTTTTTACTTTTTCTAATTCTTCCATATTTGCTTCAATGTCATGAAATCCTCCTATTTGATTAGCATTTTCTTCAGTTAATTCTTCTAATTGAGCTATTCTTTCTGTCAAATCATTTAATTGTTCTCGAATAAAAATATTTTTCTTCTTTTCTAAAGTCGAAATTAAAATAGCTGCAATCTGCAAAAATTGTTGAGAAAATTAGTTTTTTAATTGGGTGGGGGCTAACTCGAGGAATTCCAAATCGCAAAACAGACAATTCGAGGAACAGACAATTCACGGAATTACCAAACTAAGGAATATTTTAAAAATGATTTTAAAGATCAGAATTGTTTTAAAAATCAGAATTTTTTGGATCTTACATAAAAAAGTTCTGATTTTTAAAATATTCCGTGATTAGGTAATTCCGTGACTTGTCTGTTTCTCAACTTGTCGTTCCACGAATTGTCTGTTCCGTGAGCTAGCATGACATGATTTAATTACAAAAAATTAATTTCCTCACCTTCCTCCTTTTAAAAACTTCTCCAACAATTATCGTTAAAATTCTAGAAGAAACCAACAAATTTTTTGAATATTTCTTTAATTGTTTAAATATTTTTGTTGTTGATTCTTCTTCTAATACAGTGTGTTAAGAAATTATAACCCCCCTTGAATTTTTTTAGTTTCTCTATATTCCCGTTGTCTGATTGTTCTGAAATTTTTGTAGTAGCTTTCTAATGCATATTAATTAATATTTACAAAAAATCTTTAAAAATTTCCGATTTCAGACTTTTTTTTGGCCGTTTTTCCAAATAATTAGTGTTAATAAATTATAACCCCCCTTTATTAAAATTTTTGTTTACCAGTCAAAAAATCCACAAAAATTTTTCTGAACATATCTATCAATATAGATAAAAAATATAAAAGAAATTAAGTTCTGATGTACTCCCATCATCGAGATCTCGAAATTCGAAAATCAACGTAAAACTGGGGTAAAGGTCTTTAAAAAATATTTTCGACCCCTTACATGTGAAATAAAAATTTTATTTTAAGCTTATCTGAAAGCCCTTTAAATTTGCTATAAATTTGTTTTTATCTCATTATACAGAAAAAATTCACCGTCGAGAGCCAAAGTGATAAATCTTCAAGTCATAGAAATCACTCAAACGCCCCCAAAAATAGATAGAATTTTAACTTATAAATTAAACTCATCATTTCTTATAGGTTAATTTTTTTCTGAAAATAAAATCAATGCTATCTTGTAGCAAATTTAAAGGGCTTTCAGATAAGCCTAAAATAAAATTTTTATTTCACATGTAAGGGGTCGAAAATGTTTTTTAAAGACCTTTACCCCCGTTTTACGTTGATTTTCGGATTTCGAGATCTCGATGATGGGAATACATAAGAACTTCATTTCTTTTTTATTTCTTATCTATATTGGTAGATATGTTCAGAAAAATTTTTGTAGAGATATCTCGTGTGTTAAAAAAATTTTAATATAGGGGGGTTATAATTTATTAACACTAATTTTCTGGAAAAATTTCCAAAAAAAAGTCTGAGATCAAAAATTTTTAAAGATATTTTGTAAATATTATTTAATATACATTACAACACTACTGCAAAAATTTCAGAACAATCCGACAACGGGAATATAGTGAAACTAAAAAAATTCAAGGGGGGTTATAATTTCTTAACACACTGTATATTTAACTCTAATTCATTTGGAGGTATATTTAATGATTTAAATATGTCTACAAGAAGTTCATTTGGAATTGTTTTCTTTCTCCTCTTTTGTTTATTTAAATTCATTTAAATAATCTAAAAATATTAAAAATCACCGTAGAAAATTAAAAAAGTTTATTTTATTTTCTCGGACTAATTAAAACTTTGAGGAAGTTAAGAGGAGAGAGGTGTTCGAGAGTAATTAATGAGGGTTATGGTAATTAAATTAAGGATTCTGAAACTGCCTTTTATAGTAAAATCTTTAATTCAAATGTTGAGATTTTTTAATTGAAGAGTTTCTTGGTGGCCGAACTTTTCGTCAATAAACTTTGCGTCCGTCAATTCAATGCGCAGCTCCAGTCTTAATTAAAATATTACATACAATATTTTAACGAATTTTAATTTTTTTATTCAAAATTGCATAGCAAATAATATATTATTAATTTAATTAAAAAAGCATAATTTTAATAAGGCCTTATTTTCGAATAATGGTGCACAAGTGAAATTATTTAAAAAGCTTAATATAAAATTGGGAATTTTTTTTGAAATTTATATGAGAAATTGAGAGAAGCATTTTGGTATTTTCCCTATTAATATACGCAGATTTAAAATTAACTGAACTTTAAAAACTTTTCTTCAGAATGACAAATTTAAAATTACCTTTATAAAGTAGGACTGGGCGAAATCTAAAAATAAAAAGCGAAATTAGCCCACCCCTGCTATATAGGTATTCGAAGAATGTCTTGGAGATTAGTGGCGAACTGAGGTGAACATGATTTTAATATATCTTTCTAGTTAGTTTAAAATCTGTGTAGAAATAGGGAAAGCACCATCATTTCTTTAATAAAATCATAAATTACAGATAATTTAACACTTTCCTATAAAAAATTAATTTTTCAGCCTACAATTTTTCAGAGAATTAGTTTTCGTTAATCTATATCTCTGTAATTATATGATTTTTATTTGCGTAGTGGTACAGTCCTATAATTTTTAAATTTTTACTTTAATCTTCTTCATTCATCTTCCCTAAATATCTTCCTGTTCTTCATCCAAAAGTTTATTTCGTCGATTTTCTACATCCCCCATTGGCGGGGATGGTTTTGGGGGCAATTTGGGAGGAATTGAATTTTCACATGATGTTCCTCTCTTTGAAGGAATTGGTGGAGGAGGTGGTTGTTGTTCTTCTTGATTTTCTTCAACATTTTTCAAACGTTGTTGTAGTAATAAAGGTGAACGTTCTAATGATTGTCCAAGGGCAGAAGTGAATGGCTCTGGTGAAGAATTAATAATTGGAGTCTAAAAATAAGTAGTAAAAAATATTTTTTAAAATAATATAGAGGAGCAGAGGTTTATGACACAAAATTGTAGGATAAAGAGACTGAATGCCAGGAACAGAAGGTATAAAAGGAGTGATAAAACTGTCGTTCAGTTTTTTCAAAAAAACAAATTTTTTACCTGTTCTAAAGGAGCATCTTCTTCCTTTGCCAAAACTTCATCTAAAGCATTAACAGCCTCCTCTTCTTCAGTTTCTTCCAATTTTTTCTTTCGATGTAAACGTGCAGGTTTAGGCCTATTTTTAGCCAAATGTACAAGTTTTGTTGGGAAAGAAGTTTCTTTTCCTTCTTTTTCATTTTCAAAAAATGCAAAATTTCCCACAACACTTTGTGACATTATTGAAGGAATTACTCCATTTTGTTGATTATTATTTGACATTATTGAAGAAATTGGACGATAATTTAATGATTTAGAATCTGCTGGGGAACGCAATAAAATTCCTTTTCTATTAGATATTGTTGCAGTTTTTATAGTTCCTCCAAGTTTTTGTTCCAAAATTTTAAAGCAATTTTGATCATCTGAACGTAAAGCATTGTCTAATTTGGAAAATAAATGTTCCCATGCACATTCACTAAAAAATAAATTTTTTTACTTTAAATTTAGTTTTAAAATTAGTTTTTTGCCTTGTATATCTGTTAAAGAATTGTGTTAATTTTTCTTTAAGTTGATCTTCTTTTGCATGATTTTCAGAAATATTGTTAATAATATCAGGCTGTTGATTATTAAGTGAACAAATTTCTACACATTCTTGGGCAGCTAGACGATCAGAGAAAGATTGTAAAAAATTCTTAAAATTAAAAAAAATAAATTTAAATAATAATTTTTATTTACTTTATTATTGTCCTCGACAAATTGCCCAAGTTCTTCAATAAATTTATCGACAATTTTTGTCCTTCTCTTATCCCCATTATTTTTAAATGAATCATTGAATATATTAATATCATCAGATTTTTGTTCTCCAATTTGTGCAATTAATTTTCCAATTTTGTGAAAAGCAACTTTTTTAATTTCACTGGTTTCAGAGCCATTTATATTGTAACGATCACATCCCTAAATATTTAAATTTGGAAAGAATTTATTCAAAAAAAATTTTTTTAATTTACAATATTCAAAGAATGCATTGCTTTCATTGCCAATTGTCCATTTTTCGGTCCGTTTGTTAAAGAAAAATCAACATTTCGTTTCAAAGCTTCCTCAATTTCAGCAATTATAGCCATTAAACGAGCTCTTTCAATTGGTATTCTAGCTAAAAGTGCCATTGAATCAGACAAATCAGAAGTAGGCAAATCCAAAGCCAACAAAGTATTGTTAAGCCTTAAAGCACGTGCCAATTCATAAAAACCATCAATACCAATTTGGTTACGATCGAGTGAAAGTTGGCGTAACGATTGGTTTAATTGAAGTGATTTGCTGAGAAGGCGAGCACCGCCTGGACCAAGCTTTAAAAAATATTTTAGTAAAGAAAAAATTTAAATAATTAAGGAAAGTTTAAGAAATGCCAAAAAAATTTTTTTAATAAAATGAAAATACCAACATCGCAATTAGATAGATTGAGTTTCCGAAGTGATCTAGAAAGCCCTAAAGCATTCAAAAGAATACTTAAATGAGAACCAAGCCGAGAATCTGACAACGACAATTCATCCAAATTCTAGAAAAAATAGCCAATTTATTAATTTTTAGATATGAACATCTCCTCACAGATTCCTCATCCTCTCCATTAACAAGTCTAACAAATTCTGTAACAATAGCAGACAACATTTGTGCATGTTTTTTGTTTGCTTTGAGGCCAAAAAAGTTGGCACCACCAATGTCAAATTTACGGAGCCCTCGCATTTTGCAAATTATTGGAAGAAGGCGATATGTCTTTATAAATATAAAAATTAGATTAAAAAAACAGGAAAAATTAACCTCATGCTCTAAAGAATTATCACGTAAAGATAAGGAACAAATACAGGGACATTCAAGCAAATATTGCTCAAAAACATTAACACATTGAGTTGTAGAACCAACAATACAATTATCAAGGCAAAAGGCAAGAGAAGAAGACGGGAGATTTGGATTTGTTGAAATACCTTTTAAAAATATTTTTTCGAATTTTTTTCTTAAATTTTAACAACCTTCAAGTATTCCACTTAAAAGTTCTGCAGTTAAATGTGTTCCCGTTAAGTCCAATTCTTTAAGTGAAAGAAAAGAACTAAATAATTCATTAGCAATTTGAGCACTGTCTTTTCCACTATTTCGAACACTTCTTTTAGTTTGAGCAATATGACAACCACCAAGACGGAGAACTTCTAGACCAAGACCACCCAATTTGAGAGCAGCCCAGAGACGATCCAATTGAATTGCTTAAAAATTTATCATAATTATTAAATGAAACAGGGCAGGAAAAAAATAAAAAAACATTTTTGGAAATTCTCAAAAATAATAATTTAGAAAATTTTTTTACCCGTTCCATTTAAATCCAAAAAGCGAATTGCTCCTGTATTTAAAGCCAAAAAATTAGCCAATTGTTCAGCAAGTTCTACTCCACTTCCCAACGGATTTCCACTTAAATTTAAAGCCTCTAATTGAAATCTTCCGTTATCAGAATTAATTAAAGTATTTCCAGTCACTGTAGCATCTTCACCTTTTGCCGAATCATTTGCTAATCTAATGCCGTGATGTAATCCATTTAGAAGAGCTAAAGCACATTTTTCACTTAAAAGGCATTCAGCGAATGATAAAGCACGCAAAGAAGAAAGTTGGGGAAGAAGAGTGCCCAATTGAGTTAGGCCTAAAAAATAATTTTGATAAAAGCCAATTTCCATTTATAATTGGAGAAAGAAAAAGATAATTGTTTTTAAAAAGACAAAAAAACTTTTGATTATTCATGTAAGCTAGATCGAAAAGCATCGGAATTTCTATGTATCTTATTGTTAACACTAATTGTAAGTAAACAACAAAAGCCACTATTTGGTTCTTCAAAAATTTTCAGATTAATTGTTTTGAAAATCTACCCAATCGTGGGGCCAACGCCGACTAGCGTCGTGTTAAAAAAGGGCTAGAATATAATTTCATCTATAAATTTTAAACAGGAATATATTTAAAAAAAACACCAATTCGGACAGAGAAAATCCAAAAAATTAAAGCTTTACTAATTAATTAAAAGAAAACCTTTTTTATCTTCCAAAACAATTCCAACCAATCGAAGCCGTTCCAAAGGCAAATTAATATTTGTTGAAAGAGCAATAGAAAATTGAGTCAAAAAATCTTTAATCGGAAGAGTGCAGCGATTAAAGTAAAGAGAACGTAAAGAATGTGAACGACGAATTAATAAAAATAAAGAATCGATGTGTTCGTTTTGTAATCTGAGGGAATCTGCAAAAATTCCAGTAAAGAAACTTGAAAACTGTATAGAGCCTATTAAGGCTTGTTGATCTCTAAAAATAAAATTAAACGAAATTTTATAAATTGGGAAAATACTTTAAAGAAAGATGACTAAAATCATTTAAATCCAATTCATGTTGTCCATGAAAAAAGTAAATGCGTTCAATATCCTGAAATATAAGTTTTAAAAATTAAAAAAAAATATTTTTTATGTTAAGTTGGGAAAAGAGAAATGGAAATTCGAAAAATCTTTTGCAAAAAATCTAATTACTAAAAGTGATTTCGTCTGGCCGAACTCACAGTCCAGGATTCGAAATAAAATTAGAACTCTCGTATTCGAACTCATGTCAATACACTCAATTACACCCTGTCAAATCTCTAAAATATCGAAGAGAATTTCTTCCTCATTTTTTCTAGAGAGATGAAAAATGTAGAAAAAAGGTGCCACATATAGGGTTGTTGGTTCCTGGGAATTCTTCGGTTATCCGAAACAGACCCAAAAAAATCCTAGGTTCTTCGGCTCGGTTCGGTACAGAAACAACAACCCTAGTCACATATAAAAAATATTTCAATTTTCCTACCCAAATAATTTCATCTCTAAAAGGCTGTTCCATCCAGTCACAATAAGCAACATAAGAACGTCGAAAATTATAACAAGGCAATTCCGGTGTAGATAAAGGTAATAAAGCAAAATCAGCGATTAAAGGCGGAGATAAAGAAATAAATAATTTTGTTAAACTTTTTTGAATTTCAGGAAAATAATGTTTTAATGTTGAAAGTAATTCTAATGCCAAATCTTTTGTTTTACTTCCATCAGGTTTGCGAAGAAATAAATGAAGAACGACAATTGGAGTAGAAGAAAACGATTTTGTGCCACCAGGACGGTCTTCCCAGCCTATTTGGAGCTTTAAAAAATTTATTAAAAATTATTGAAATTTTAAATATTTTAAAAGAAATATTTGGAAGGAGTGAAAGGAGCCCTATTTGAAAGGAGGGCCGGCATCATATTTTTCCGTATTTCCTTGAAATGGCTATTTTTCCTTAACCGAAGACATTATTTTTCTTTTAATTTTTTCGAACCGTGTTATGTTTGGACCGAGTTTTGGTAGACACGGTCCTCCGGTCCTGGTAGACCAAAATACGGTGCAGACATAACACGGTCCTAAAAAATTAATAAAAAAATAAATTAAGAAAAAATAACCAGTTCAAGTGAATACAAAAAAATATGATGCCGACACTCCCTTCACATAGGGCCAAATATTTTAAAAAATCCATTATCAGTCAATAAGTTTTGGAAAAAATTTTCCCTAAAAAATTTAATACAAACAATCTGCTCCTGTTGTAGCAACTCCAAATTTCGTAAAGCCAGCACATTAAAAGACTTTTCCAGCTTTATAGTAGAAACACTTTTTCCATAGAGAAGAAAAACTCGAAATTTTGCAATTGCCTAGAAAAAAGAAAATTAAAAAGAGAAAAATAAAAATTAACCAAAAAACGTGTCTCCCATTTGTCAGACTTTTGTTGAGATTGAACAACACAAGCATGTCTACATTGCCAATATTTTTGTCCAAAAATTGAATCCGGATTTGCTAAAAGAAATAAAATTTTTCAAATAAAAATTTTTCAAATAAAAATTTTCAAATAAATACTTCTAATATGTTGACAAATTTCTTCAGCTTTCTCTCTTGTTAAAGACGACATAAATAAAAAATAATAAAATAAATCTTAAATTAAAAAATAAAATTACAATTAAAAAGTAAAAAAATCAACAAGTTTTCCCTAGATGACGCATAATGCAATTAAATATTTAAAATTTTGCTAAAACAGAATGCCAAAAAAATTAAAAATTTTTTTTAATATTTTTGAGTCTAGGTTTTGACGACTGGGTAATTCTGAAATTCTCAATACTCTAATCATTTTCTTTTCTGATTTTTGTTATTGAATTTTTTTGTTTTTTTAGAACTCTTATATTATATTTTTTAGCTATTCTTTTGTGATTATATAATGGCTGACGATGATGATCTTGTAAGTTTCTGTAGATTATCTACTAAAAATTAATCTCATTTTCAAGGCTCTTGATCTTAAAAAGAAGAAAAAATCTAAAAAGAAAATTGTCTTGGACGATGATGAAATCTCTTCTCAGCAAAATGTTGAGCGTCCTGTGACTCCGACAGATGTGGAGAAAGAAGAGCGGCCGGTTGAAGAAGAATTGACTCTTGGCCCTAAAAAGAAATCTAAAAAGAAAAAGGAAGAATTGGAATTATTGGCGGACGAGGAGAGAGGAGAAAGCGAGGTATTTGTGAACTTAGAATATTTATTCAATCTTATTTTTAAAAGAAACTTTCTGTTAGTGTTGCAGAAGGAGTAGGACGAATAAATTTGGTAGATGCTAAAGATCCTGAGAAATGGACAGATTATACTTATGACCAGTTAATTGATATGGTTTTTAATATTATGCGAGAGAAGAATCCAGAAGTTATTTCTGGGAAAAAGAAGGTTAATAAGTATTTTTTAAAGTAAAGACTCATCCCTCATAAATATTCGAAAAATCACTTCAAAGTCTTTGTAACATTTTTTTAGACATTTATAATGAAGCCTCCACAAGTTCAACGTGCGGGAACTAAGAAAACAGCGTTCACCAATTTTTCAGAAATTTGTCGTTTGCTCAAACGTGAACCAAAACACGTTTTGCAATTTTTGATGGCTGAGCTTGGAACGACGTTTGAATTTAGTTAAATCTAAAATATTTTTTTATTATTTTAGTGGTTCTATTGACGGAAATCAATGTCTAATTGTTAAAGGACGCTTTCAACAAAAACATTTTGAAAATGTTCTCAGAGTTTATATAAGTAAGAATTTGTTTTTTTTTTATTTTCCAAATTTATTATTAAAATTAAGGGGATTATGTGACGTGCCATACATGCCGTTCCTCTGACACTCTTCTAACAAAAGATATTTCCCGTCTTTTCTTTATTCAATGCAAAACTTGTGGAAGTCGTTGTTCTGTCTCTAGCATTAAATCTGGATTTACTGCGATGGTTGGAAAACGAGCTGCAGCGAGACGGGCTGCTGAGGCTATTGCGGGGAAGTGAGAAATTTTTGTTTGGATCTTCTATTTACGATAATTTTCAACCCTCATGCTTTTTATTATAAATAATACTTTGGTTATTTTTGGTTGTTCTTTTTGTCTGTTACTTTTATATAAAATGGTAAAATGGCGTTGGAATTGCTTATTTAGTCTTGAAATATTGCTTTATATTTAATTTTATTTTTAGTTTTTCGAATACAAATTTTTAAGAACTAAAATTGGTTTTGAAATTTTTAGATTATGACTCAGTTTTTGCAGAATTTTTCTTCTAAACACCATTTATTTGCTGCTGTTGCCGAATGGTTACATTTACCTTTAATTCTTTTGGACGATGTTCCTTCAACTTCGGAAAGTTTTTTGCCTGTTCCTATTCCGTATGTACTTTCTCATGAATTTTGGTTTGATTGTTTTGCGTTGCCTTTAATTAATGAAATTGGTTTGGAGTTGGATTCTCAAGCAAGAGAGGGGAGACTTCAATGTATTCTTATTTCTGTCAATGAGATTATTAGTCGAGTTTCTGATGGATATTGCTGTAGGGATCGGATGGTGGAATTTGAGGTATGTAGTTTTGAATTTTTTCTTTTAAAGGAATTCTTTTTTTAAGGAATTTTTTTTTCTTTTAATTATTTTATGTTTTTTGACTAAAATTTGAAAAGAATTAAAATTTGAAATAAATTTAATTCAAAAATTAAAACACTTAAAAAGACGAATCTGCGGAAATTCAGTAAAACAACTAAAAAATATGATTACCTAAAACAGGCCCGTAGCCAGGATTTTTTTTCGGGGGGGGGGGGGCAAGGGGGGAAAAATCTTTTTGCGCCAAATTTTTGACGCCGAAGGCGCCAAAAATTTTTATTTTCAGCGCCGCAGGCGAAAATTTTAAGAATTTTAGAAGGCCGTAGGCCAAAAAAATCCACTTTTTCGGCGCCGCAGGCGCCAAAATTTTAAGAATTTTAGAAGGCCGTAGGCCAAAAAAATCCACTTTTTCGGCGCCGCAGGCGCCAAAATTTTGATTTTCAGCGCCGCAGGCGAAAATTTTTTGAATTTTGGACCTCAAGAAGCCAGATTTCTTCCATTTTTAGCGCCGCAGGCGAAAATTTTGAAAATTTCAAAGGCCGTAGGCCAAAAAAATTCACTTTTTTTGCCCCAGCCCTTCCCCAAAATTTTCCCTTTTTCCCATTTCGGGGGGGGGGGGAATTCCCCCCCCTACCCCCCCTGGCTACGGGTCTGACCTAAAATATTTATATTTTCAATTAATTTTCAGGAAGCCTTTAAGAATTTAATTAGATGTTCTGAACGACCCATAAGTGAAGATGTACGTCGTCTCTCTCAACGAGCTTTTGCGCGATTACTTAATCTCTTTGAACCTATTGCACAGATGTTGCTTTTATTCCATCTTTTTGAGGTTTTAAATTTAATTAAAATATTTCAAATAATCCAATAACAAATTATTCTTTCAGTTGGTTTTGGCAAAAAATGAAATTCCTCTTTCTGAAGAAGTTTACGAACCACAAGTATTGGCTCTACTTATTGATACTTATCGACAGAAATGTTTTTCACAATTTATTGATGATGACAAATGTTTATTCCAGTCGCAACTTGAATGTTTTTACAAAAAATTTGAGTCTATTGTTTATGAAGGTATATTATCTTAATTAAATTTGAAATATTTTTTTAAATTTTCAGATCCTTTTATTGCTGTCAATTTCTATACTTCTATTTTATTATTGGTTAATGCCCAAGCAACTCATCGTGTTCAAATTTTTTTGTTATCGTCAGATGCTCTCAAATTTATTCAAAAAATTCGTGTCCAAGTTCGTGATTGGATGGATTTACAGAAACAACGGAAATTAATGGGAAATAATTCTAAAGGTTTTGATGATTTAAAGAATGGAAATATGGTTGAAATTCTTGAAGAAAAGCAAAGAGAAGAATGTGAAAATCACAATAAGGCTAGTTTAGAGATGTTGACTTTTCAATTGGATGAGGCAGAAAAGAAAGTAATGGAGACTATTTTGAAGAAATAGAAAATTGCTAAATCTCTAAAATTACAATTCTTGCCTTTATTTTTTCTTTAAATCGACGAAATTATTTTTTCAATTGTAAAAACTAGTTAGACCCTTGGTACTTTTTGAATATGTCGCCCCCTATCAGTTATCGACCTAAAATGAAGGAAAGGATAAATGATACTCGAACTAGGAGACCCTATATCCCTATTAAAAAATTAAACCCAGAATTTCTACTCAGGTCTTCAACAGTGACAATTTAAAAATTGAATATTATGTGTATTTTGATTTTTTCAATAAATGTATTGCTCAATTTTAACTTGTAAAAATTTTAAATATTTGTATGTATATTCTTTTATTTTCTAAATTAATTCTACTTTTTTAAATTTATTTTTATCTAATTTATTTGTTATTTCTATAAATATTTTAGAGATGTTTAAATCAGGGTTAAAAGTTTGTTCGAGGATCTTGCCAAGTGCACAAACGTTTTTTAGGCTTGAGACAACTGGTACTCAAGGAGCAACAGCTCAGAATGCAAATCAAGCTAAACAAGGTTAATTTGGAAGTTTTTTTATTTAAAGTTTTGTGAGAGAAAGGGACCGTTTAAATTTTAACTTTTATAAAATTTATTTAGCTAATACTAAATGGCAAATTGATCTGGTAAAGCGTGAAAAGTTGAAAGAATTTGCTCTATATATGACCCAATGTTTACCCAAATATATCCAACAAGTCCAGGTTTCTTTATTATTTAGATGTTTATTTAATTTTTTTCTTAGTTTGCTGGTGGAGATGAATTGGAAGTACTTATTCACCCAGCAGGGGTTCTACCAGTTTTTGCTTTTCTTAAAGGCCACCATCCTGCACAGTTTACCAGTTTCATTTTTTGTTGTGGTGTTGATGTTCCAACACGTAAAAATCGTTTTGAGGTTGTTTATGCACTTCTTTCTACTCGTTATAATGCTCGTATACGCGTGAGAACTTATACAGATGAGGTAATTTTTAAAATTTAATACTACATTTCTCTTCAATTTTTATAAAAGATTGCTCCAATTGAATCTTTAACACCGCTCTTCTCCGGTGCAGAATGGTATGAACGCGAAGTTTATGACCTCTATGGTGTTTGGTTCAATAATCACCCAGACTTGCGTCGACTTTTGACAGATTATGGTTTTGAAGGGTTTGATTTTTATTTTTTCAGATTAATTTTTATAAATTTTTTAGATATCCACAGAGAAAAGATTTTCCGCTAACTGGTTATGTTGAGGTTTTTTGACCGTTTTAATAATTTTCTTTTAATTTTTTTAGCTTCGTTGGGATCAAGAACTTCAACAAGTTATTTACGAACCGACAGAAATGGCACAAGAATTCCGGAAATTTGACTTGAATACTCCGTGGGAAGTATTTCCAGCTTTTCGGGAGTCTTCGATTACTGCTGGTTTTGACGTCATTCACACAGCGGAAGAGAAACATGAGGAAAAAGCTGAAAAATAAATAGAATTTGATTTTAGATCTATTTTAAATAGGAGTGTTTTGATGTTCGTTGTCGTTGTAATATTAAATATATATTAGATAAGGATGGGATGAACCATTCTTGCACGTGTAAAATTTAAAAGCATTTAAGTGTGTTTTTTAATTTTGGTATAGTTGTGTTTATGAAGGGCAAAGCATTTGTCTGACAATAGCTTAAATCATTGATTTATCCGTTTAATTTAACGTAAATTGAATATTTATTTGAATAATTTAAATCATTTTCAAAAAATCATGTCGAAAATGTGACGAATTACGTCGAAAATTAATTATCTGCCTTTTCTCTGCTTATCCCTGCCTCTTCCATCAATTCCAAAACCGTCTTTTCAAGTTGGTCGACTCGACTAGACATTACATCAATTCGTTGAATAATTTGGTTCGATGCTGTCTAAAGTGAAAAACGAAAAAAATATTAGTCTTAAAAATTCTTTAAAAAACCTGAAATCGTTCTTGTGTCTCTTTCAAAACGTTTTCAATCTATAAAGATAAAATTTAAATATCAAACAATTCAAACCATTTTAGAAATATTCTCTAATTCTTTAGAATCAGAACTGGCAACATCATCATCAGCGTCCTTCTCAGCATCAACAAATGTTTCTTTATTGTTGGAATCAACCATATTTTAATTTTCGAGAAAAATATAACTGAAAGAAAAAATCTAAAATGTCAATGAGGTTTTAAAAATAGCCGTTTAGTCAACTTAGACACCTCTAAAGTTAGCTAAATGATGTTTCGGTTGATTAGCGACTTGTTTAGAAAGAAAAACATTAACAACCGACCATTATTGCTTGCTCAAAGTCAGACGAAATTAAGGGGGAAGCGCGAACGCTGCCCCCCACACTCAAAAATTTAGCTGTGGGCCTACCCCAGTTCGGAGCCGCCCTGCGGGTCAACCTCGCCCTCAAGTGCAATGGGGAAGTCTCACCACAGACGCCATGCCTTCTTGATCGCATGAGCGCCCCAGCCAGGTAAGTTTACGACCCTTCTCATCTCTAAAGCATATTATGCATTAATGAAAGAAAAGTGTCAGTTTATAGAATAACTCAGTATTTTATTAAAAACGACATTATCTTTTTACATTTCTTAGACTACCTGTTTTATTTTAATGCACGCACTAGTTATTTCTTTCCATCTCTGCTTCATACACTCTCTATTTTTTCTGCTGAATACAGATTGCCAATTTATCAATTTGCCAATAAGGCTAATAACACAACTTGCCAATACTAATTTTGCCAGTAAGGCCAAAAAAACTAATTTCGTCAATTAAATTCTTTCATAAACCGAAAAGCTTCAAGTTTTAATTTATTAATTTTTTTTTCTTAGAATATTCTAATTAGGTAATGTGTGAAAGGATGGTAACTTATTATTTTTTGTCATCACCACATTTTGTTTTAAAACGTTCATTCTCTACCGCTTCATTAAAAGTTCGAGGAGATTATCGTGAGAGACAAGGGTTTAATTTTGTTGAAAAGAGAGATGAAAATAGTCTTCCTTGGACAAACTCTTATCGTTTGTGGAAGTGGTATAGACCTGAACAAGATGCAACGGAGGTTGAAAATGTTTACAATGATGGAATGTACAGGCATAATAATAAAGGTTTTTTAACTGGTTATTTGTTAATTGATTATTTGGATGGGGGGTAACTCGAGAAATTCCACGACAACTCTCGAAAGTCCAAATCACGGAACGACCAACTCACGGAATGGCCAAAACACGGAATATTTTAAAAAATCAGAATATTTTTAGAAATAAATTTGTCACATTTTTAAAGTTCTTATTTAACAATATTCTAATTCAAAAAAAGTTATTTTTTAAAAATATTTAGATTTTTCAAAAAATTCCAATTTTCAAAATATTCCGTGATTTGATAATTCTGCGATTTGTCCGTTTCGTGAGTTAGCCCGACACGGATTATTTTTAGTTATTCAACGTGAACAAAAGACACAAAATTGGTGGTCGTCTACAAATGGCAATGAACAATACACAACCCTTAAAGATGGTCGATACGTTTCTGGTCCAACTCGGGAAGCTTCGAGACATCTAAATTTTCGAAATCAGTCGCATTCTAACAATGTAATTATGAAATTAATTTTAAATATTTTCTCGATATTTAGATGACACGAATAGATGACAGTCTGAATGTACGACGTAGAGGAAAGCTTTTGGATCCTCAACAGGAATTTGGGTTTGTCTGAATTTTTATAGAAAATTTGTTACTTAAATTACTACTCCGTTATCACCACGTGTTTTTGCGGACTCTTTTTGCGGACTCTTTCTTTATTCCCCATTTCCACTCCATTCCCCTATGACATACTCAAATGATGAACATCAGTAAGTAAAATTAGTGGTGGAAGTAGGTCTGACCATTATATATTTGCGTAAGGAAGAAAATGACCGCAAAAACACGCAGGGATAACGGAGTAGTACTGAAATTTTTTTGATAGTCTTTGATTTGTCCCAATTAACTTTAATTTCTTAGATCAGTACGTGCCAAGCTCAATCATATTCTCTTTGACGAATATATTGGAGGTGAATGTAGTTTAAGCACTATACTCGATTGGGCTGATCAAATGCGAAGTTCTAAAGTAGAAGAAACACCTTTATTAAATTTAATTGGAAGATTGCAAATGGTGGGACAACATTCATTAATTCCTCCTCTCTACAATGCGTATGTTTTTTGTCATTTTTTTAATTTTTTATAATTTTAGGTTTATAAAATCTTCTGAAGCTAAACCATATGCAAATCGTCCAGAAATTTTGCTTCCGGCAATTGCAAATGCATTTCAGGTTTAATACTAAAAATTTTGTGACTAGTGATAAGATTTTTAGGTTGTTAAAACTCTAAAATTAATACCTAAATAGTTTGTCTGCGCCGAATCTTTGGTGCCAAATTCACCGATAATTTTGCTTTTCAGTGCCGCAGGCGCTGTAAATTTTTTAAAATTTCGAAGGCCATAGGCCAAAAAATTCACTTTTTTGCCCAAACCCTTTCCAAAATTTTTTGTCTCATTTTGGGGGGGGGGGGTATACTAGTATCACAATTCTTATATTGACTTATTTTATATTTCAGTCGGCAAATCCAATAAAAGAAGTTCATTTATTGTTCAGTCAAATTAATGCTTTATTGCAACGAAATAAACAGCAAGGCAAATTTTCTAAAATTAATTTTTATAATTTAATTTTCAGAATATCTTTATTTATTACAATTCTTTACTCAATTGAAATTTAAGTATTTTATTTATCGAGTTGGAAAAAGTGTGAAAAATGGAGAATTAAATAAAGATTTTTGTGCGTTACAAATAGAAGAAATGGCCTCATTTTTGCGTAATTGTTGGCCTTGCCCGTTGGCTGATTCAATAGATTTTGTTTTCAGGTTAGGTTATATATTTATTTTTAAATATCATTAAAGAAAATTTAAATTGAGTCAATCCAAAATATTTTTTTGCCAAAATTTTTTGCTAGTAAAAGGCATTTTGGTTATCCTAACTCTTGACAAGGGCGTAGCCCGGGGTCGCAGAATTTTTGGCGTTTACCTTGGCGTTCCGGACGCAAATTTTTTTGAACCATATTTTATTTTTTTCAGTGCCGCAGGCAAAAATGTAGAGAATTTTGGAGCTCAAGAAGCCGGATTTCTTCCATTTTCAGCGCCGCAGGCGAAAATTTTTTGAATTTGCACGGTCAGGCGAAAAAATTTCACTTTTTTGCTGATTTTTTTTTCTTAATTTTTCTCCCCTTTCTCCCATTTCGGGGGGTGGGGGGCGGGCTTCAGCCCCCCTGGAAACTACCATTTATAGTTATATTATATCAAGAGAATGAATCTTTGCAAGAGTAGAACGAAACCGGTGAACGGAGGGAAATTTTGCTCCTAAAACAAAAAACCCCCTACTTCTGGGCTAGAAATTTAATTTTTAATTTCTTAAAATTATTTTTTAATTTTAAATACAATTTTTTAAGATGGAAGTTGGGGGACAAACTTGCTCTGGAACTTTATCAAGCATTTCTTAGAGAACCAGCAGAACGCAATTTATACGCTGACAGATATCATATATTTTTTCCTTGGATGATTGAAGTAATTGATGATAAAAAAGTAAATAAAAAAATAAAAATAATTTTTTAAATTAATTTTTATAAATTTATAGAATAGAGGACGAAATGAATGGGTAGCCGTTTTAGTCAAATTAATTGAATTGGATTTAAATAAATTATTGCCTAACTTTATGAGAGGAAAATTGCACAGTGAAATAGGAAATCTTTTTAATTATGCTTGTAAAAATAGAAATTTTGATGTTGCGGAAAAAGTTTGGGATTATTGGTAAGAAAATTTGTTACTATCGCATTATCTCCCCGCATATTCCGTAAAGTGTGGATGGTGGCACAGTCGGTTGTGCTTGGCTCATTCCGTCATGGTTCTATTACATTTCCCTTCCAATTAATTTTTCCACAGCATGAATATAATATGAGAAAAAAAAGAGCGAAGGGAGGATGTAGTACAAATATTGCGGACTTTGCGGGGAGATAATGCGATAATACCGAGAATTTTTGGTGATTTTTAAAATTGTTTTTTTAATTTTTTTAAGTAAAATTACTGGACTGTCGCATAGATTTAGTGTCAATTCTTTATTTTTATTTACACTTTATCATTGGACGAATGGAAGAAGAATGACAGCAAAAACAATTGCGAGTGTTTTACAATCAAGAATTAGATTTCTTCGAGATGTTTCTAATAATAAATTTAGCGAAGGTTGATTAATTCAAAAAAAATAAAAATTGTTTTTTAGATAAAACAATGGAAGAAATGAAGGACTGGAAGAATATTCGTGATCGCTTTTTAGAAATTAATAGAAGTTACAAGGATATTATGGAAAAGTAGGGAAAATATTTTTGCGATTTTTTGCAATTTTCTAAAAAAATTCTAACTTATTTTTTAGTCCACAAACGAAAGAAAGAACGAGGAAGGTATGTAGTCGAGTTTTGAATGGATTTGTAAATGATTTTATAGACGACAAAAGTAGAAAGTGAATTAAAAATTGTTATTGTTTTTTTTTTGTTTTTTTAATAAATTAGATGATATTTTATTAGAGTTTTTAATTTTTATTAATTTTGAAAATTAGAGTTCCTGAGAAGAATAGAACTTTTTGCTTATTCAGATCCAATCTTCATTGTCTCTCCGACTTATCGTCAACGGACTGTCCGTCAATGGACTTTCCGTTAAGACCTTTCGTCAATGGACCTTACCTTAAAAAAGTTTAATCTAATTTGTTTGCATTTAATCTTCATTTCCAGTCCACAAAAAAATCTTAATGCAATTATCATTAATAATATTTGAATTGTGGCCACAATGTCAACAGGCATAAATAATTGCTTAACCTCCATTTAGGAGAAAATTAACAAAATAATTAATTGACAATCAACCTCAATTTTTCCCAAAAACTAAATTTTAAAAATATTTAAAACTATTTATATTACTTCTTTTCAATTATTTCCTAAAAACCAAAAAATTTATTTATTTATTACTGCAATTCAATATCCTCTTCATTTTAAATATAATGAAAGTCTTATGGCCATTATTTCTAATAAAATGAGTCATTCTTATAAATAAATAAATATATTTATTTTATCTCCCTCCCTTCCCTTCCAAAGTCTGTTGCAAACTTTGAATGGCAGCACATTTTGATTTATTTATTCTTTCATTTATTTTTGAAAGTTTAGCCCCAATGGCCATTGGGTTTCAGGTCAACGACCTCAATCAAAGAATTAAATTGCTGTCAATTTTTTTGTAAAGATTTTTCTTTTCTTTTTTAATTAAGCAATTTTAAATTTGACTATTTTCGAAAATTTCTTTTCAGTTTTTGTTGAGAGTTTTTTCTTTATTTTTGGAAGGAAAAAGTAAAAGAAAATCTGATTAGAATTCGAACCTAAACCTTCAATCCTAACTAGGGTTGGGGTTTTTGAGCGGGCCGACGTTTGAATCATTTTTTCGGGCCTCATATTTTTCGGGCCGGCCTGACCGAGTCTTTTTCGGGCCAAAATTTGATGCCCGACTCGATCTTTCGGACCGGACCGAACTTTCAACCTAACTAAATCCTTTGTTCCTATTAGAAACTCCCAAATGATCGATGCTCATCCCCATATTTTTTTATCAAGTTGCGAGTACGAATTTTGATATATGTAGCCTGTGAAGGACTTTATAATAATAAAAAATTTTCCCAATTTTTCTCTTGTGTTTTGATTCAAGACTACTTAAATAGTATATAATATAATATTACAAAATTTTATTTTTCCAAGATATTAATATAAATAAACAAATTATTAATAATTCAAAATATTTTGTGTAATTTTAGAACTTTTCTCTATTTTAAGCATATAAACAAAAAAGTATACATATTTATTCTTAATTTGATTCAAAAATGGTTTTTTGTCCAGTTTTTATGTCCAATCAAAAATTAAGAGTTCAAACAATAAATATATTTTATAAAATGGGATTATTACACTCCAAAAATTAACTAATAATTGGGAATAGAATTTCAGGAAATGGCGTTAATGGACAGTGATTATGTTCCTCTTTATTATGCTCATATGTAGTTAAGGAAATTTCCATTTAAAATTTCTTTCCCTCCGATCATCCCTTTTTGATCTTATTTTTATTAATGCCAAATTAATGTCAGGGCTATTAAATAAATATTTGTTGTGGGGTTTTAGGGTTTTATGGATATTCAGAGATTTTATAGGAACACACACACACAAAAAGTAATTAATTTCTGGACAAAACAAATGTTCACAAAATAAGGACAACAAACAAAAATACTAATAAATCTTTTATTTTTATTTTCCTTTCTTTCAAAATTATGTTTGTGATTTGAACTTTAGTGTATTTTCCTCAAAATATTTTCTTCTTCTTTTAAAAATCCCATAAATTTAGTGCCTTATTTCACATAAATTAGCATCGATTTTGAAGGATTTATTTTTTAAATCTTTGGTCATTTTTTTGCTTTTCTTTAATTTTTTATATTTTCATTTTCCTCCTAAAATTATGGCAATTTTGAGTAAAATAAATATTTTTTGGAAAAATAATTCTTTGGTTTTCTTTAAATTTAAATAAAATATTTTTGTGTATAAATATCCTTCATTTATTTGCTTAAAATTTTTGTAGACAAGACTTATTCTATCAGACACATTATTCTCTAGTTATAAAATATTTTCAAAATTCTGCAAAAATTTTTCTCAGCGAAGGTACTGAAATAATAATTTAAATTAATTTGTACATAAATCCCCCTATTTCTGCACGCGAAAGACTGCTATGTAGATTTTTAATTTTTATTATCATTAATTGCTAAAAATGTTGTTAAACAAATAAAGGTTTAAATATAATGATAAAGATAAATAATTATTTATACATATTTATGTATTTATTTTTGTATCAAAAAACATAGAATAGGTCAATCAAAAGATAACATAAATAAAAAACAATTTTTGGAGTTTTACATACATACATATGCATATGTATATCTAAATAATTTTTATAATTTATTTCCGTATCCAAGATTCTGTATAAGGAAACAAACAAAAAACCGAAGATTTTTTGGTTCAGTTTCGGTTAATCAAAATATATTTCGAATTGATACCCCCAGCTAAGAGGTGTTCATATTTTAATATTTTTACTGAAGTTTTCTTTTCAGCTCCAAAACTTAATTAAATATTTTAATTATACCGAAATATTCTGTCAAACTTTTTATTTATAATTTTTTAAAGGTTTTTTTGCCACAAAAATGGCAATAATAAAAAGAAAATATTCCAAAATAAAATTTAATATTTTACTCCATTTATTATTTTCTTTATTTTTTATTTTCTTATTTACCTCTTTAACTTCTTCATGGTCTATTGAATTTCCATCTCCTTCTTCTTCTTCAACACTTCAAGAAGAAGAACTTCCTTTACATCCTTTGTCTCCACCCGAACGTTTACCAAAAAATGACAAAAAAATAATTACTAAAAGACAGGCATATCAAGTTTATTTGGGTGGAGAAGCTAGTGTTTCTATTGATAAAGGTGCCGAAGACTCTGGACCTTGGGGAGAATGGACAAAAGAAAGGGATTGCTGTAAGTTTATTTTTAAATTTTCATGATGTTTTACATGTTTTACAAAGGATCTCACTTTAAAATACCTTCAATAATAGATACACCTCTATTTAAGATACGCTTTTTAAAAGTTGGTTGGCCGGTGGGTGGAGAGAGCTTAGGATGCCTGTGGACTGGGATATAGGGCTCGAAATGGTCAAAAACCATGGGGCGAATTAAGTCCATAATGGAAAAGTTCGAACACCTCATTATTGGTAAAATTTTTCGCCCTTGAAAGGTCTCTTATAATGAGTGTTGACTGCAACAATATTTTTATTCAAAAAATTATTAATTTTTAGCCCGTTCATGTGGTGGAGGTGTTTTGATTGAAAGGAGATTGTGTTCAGACAATACATGTCAAGGCCCATCAATTAGATATATCTCTTGTAATATAGAGCCCTGTCCAGCTGGCACAAAAGATTTTAGATTCGAACAGTGTTCTCAACACAATGATGACCCTTTGGATGGAAAATACTATAAAGTAATAAATTTACTTATTATTATTTTAAATTTTCTTTAGGAATTTAAAAATATTTTCATTAGGAAAATTTTTTGGAGTTTCCCCATAAATCTTTTGATTATTTCCATAAATCTTTGAGTGAATAAAGTTGTTCTTTTAATTTTTTTAATTTTTAGTGGATCCCCTATGCCGGAAAAAATAAGTGTGAATTAACTTGCCGCCCAGAAAATGCCAATTTTTATTACAAATTTGCCGAAAAAGTTGTTGATGGAACTAAATGTGATGCTTATAGTGACGATGTTTGTGTTGATGCTAATTGTTTACCTGTTGGGTGTGATGGAAAACTTGGATCTGGTAAAGATTTTGTAAAAAAGAAAATAAAGATTAAAACTTGAAATAAATACTTAGGAGGGTATTTCTATTTTTTTTTAATTTTTAATTAAATTTTCTTCGAACTTTTTTTTAACTTACCTCAACAATTATTTCTAATCTTCGATTTCCAACTTTAATCAAATTCCCCAGTAATTTAACTATTTTTAACTCGTCCGTGAATAAATTAAATAATTTAAACCCCCAACACCTTTTACTATTTATTAGACCTACTATTAATTATCCCCTCCATTTAGTGAGTCGGAAGGATGATAAAATACTTAGTATCCTCCCCCAAATCCATTACCACATGTTCAAATTTCAAAACTCGAATAATTGCCCTCACTTTTACTCCTTTAGCGAGAGGTTGAAGGATTAATTACATAGAGTAATTATACAAGAAAATACAGATTATATTTTACATTAATACATAATTCTCAATTTTTCTTTCAAAATTTAAGTTGCCAAAAAAGATAAATGTGGTGTTTGTAACGGAGATGGTTCTGCTTGTAAAACAGTCGAGGGTATTTTTGATGAAAGAGGATTAGCTTTAGGTTATCACGATATTGTGTCTATACCTATCGGTGCTACAGCAATTCATATAGAAGAATTGAGACCTTCCAGCAATGTTTTTGGTAATCAAATAAATTTATTTAAAAATTATTTTCTCTTTTTCTTTAAAGCAATTAAAAATTCTACTGGGGATTGGTTATTAAATGGTAATTATCAAATACAAGTAATTACAAAAAATATTATTGTTGGAGGAAGTGCTTTTAAATATGAAAGTATTATTTAATTTTTAATTAATTTTAATAATTATTCTTATATTTATAGAAGGGGATGGTGGAACTGAGTAAGTTTTTTTTTAATTTAATTAAGTATAATTAAAATATTTAATCCTATATTTTTAAAATATATTAAAGAGGACTCTAGCTGAAACTAATCAAATCGGGCCGATCTATATATAACCTTAAGAATTTTTAATAATTAACATACTTTCTATTAGAGAAACTTTTCAAGCTATAGAGCCAATTATAAATTAACATCTCTTATTTCTTGTTTTTTAGTCTTTATTTAGTCTTAAGGTCAGAATTCCTTATAATTAACAATAATTAATATAATTTGTAAAATATTTTTTACAGAAAATTAACATCAAACGGTCCATTAACAGAACCTTTAACAATCTCTTTATTACTTCAAAGAACAACAACACCAAAAACTAGCAGTGCTGTCAAATATGAATTTTCTATACCTTTAGAAAAAGATATTAAATATTTATGGAAGCCTGGGGAATGGTCTAGTTGTTCTGTTACTTGTGGGAAAGGTGTTAAATTGTGTTTTAATTTAAATTTTAATTATTAAAATTTGAAAAATTAAATTTGTAATTGAATTAGTTGGGTTTTACTATATTTAAATTATCAGACTGGGAGTGCCGTACGAAAATCGAGAACGATATCTCGAAATACCCCCTCCTGTGGAGACAAAGGACTTTCTTCTAGTTTTGTCTCGGTCCGATCTCTAATATTTAATATTGAACATACCATTTAGGCAATCCCACATTATTTTATAAATATTAAAAAAATAAACCCTCTTAGGGCTCAAAATTATAATTTAACTCCTTTAATTTAAAATCAGGTTTAATAACTCGAACACTTTATTGTACCGATGTCGCAACACATACACGAGTAGATGATTCTATATGTGAAGAACAAAACGCTACAAAACCAGAATTTGAAAAGCCTTGTAAAACTGTTGACTGCGAACCTCAGTTAAAAAGATTTTTAAAAATTATATTTTAAATAAATTAAAATAGATATTTTGTTGGTGAATGGGAACCATGTTCGAGTACCTGTGGAGATAAAGGACTTCAATTTAGAGTTCTTTACTGTCATCGGTTATTTGAAAAAATAAAAATTGAAAATAATTTTTTAGAGTTTTTGCTGATGGGCGTCGGACAACAGTTTCAGATGGAAATTGTACAGAACGAGGAATTGAAAGGCCGGAAGCGAGAAGACAATGCAATAGATTTCCTTGTTAATTTACTCTCAATTTTTAAATGAAAAATATTTAAATTTAAAGGCCCCGAATGGCAAGCAGGCCCTTGGTCCTCTTGTTCTTCACAATGTGGGGATGCTAAACAATTTCGTTCTGTAACATGTAGAAGTGCTAAAGAAGGGGAAGGTGGGAAAATGTTACCCGCTGATGCTTGTCCGGGTATGTGATTTTTAAAAAATTTGAAAAAGAAATATTTTTTAGATAAAGATGGAAAGCCTCAAACAGAAAGGGATTGTAATTTAGGACCTTGTAAAGGGCTTCAATTTAAAACTACTGAATGGGAATTGGTAAATAAATATTTTTATATTTTTGAATTTATTTAATTATTAAAGTGCCAACGTTGCAATGACACAGAAGAAAGGCGTAATGTAACATGCCAGGACCGCAATGGGAGAGAATATCCTTTAGAAAAATGTTTGGAAACACAAAAAATTGGGGCAACAAAGAAGACAGAAAAAGCAAAAATACCGGAAGATAAACGTCCCTGTGCAAGCCCAGCCCCGTGCCTCTATGAATGGCATTTTTCTCAATGGTCGAAATGCAGTACTGAGTGTGGACATGGACACAAAAGTAGAACTGTATTTTGTGCTATAAATGAGCTTGGACAGACAAAGGTGGTGTATTTAGAATACATAAAGAATCTTTAAAAAATATAACAAGCATGCTAGGACTTTCTCATTATAAGTACGATAATATGAGAGAAAGGGGTAGGGCTGCACGCAATTGAAAAAAATCCACAACTCGCAATTTTAATTTTAAAATCCGCAAGTCAAAAAAAAAAACACTCAATTTCATGCAATTCGTAATTTAATGATATAGGGGGTAATCTGGGATAAAAGGGGATTAGATGAATGTGGTTTTAAAGACTATCATTGACTCGGAGTGATATCGAGGATTATGTATCAGAAGAGATCAGAAGAGATTATGTATCAGAAAGATTTTATGGGATTTGGACGGACCTTCGGTTCAGTTTAAAAAGGATAATGATAAGATTAGTTCTACATACATCTATATAATTGCTGGGGTAATATACATATTTTAGACAAAACAAGGAGATACAATAATTAAGTGTTAATTAAATGTTAATTAATTAAGTGTTAATCAAAGCCCTAGTATTTTTTACTAATATTTTTTAGCGCGTAGATGAGTCATTATGTGGAGGTGATAAACCTATTTCACGAGAGGATTGCCTTAATGAAGAAAAATGTGAAGGTGTTTACTTTACTGGACCTTGGTCTGAATGTTCAGCATCTTGTAATGGAGGGATTCAAACTCGGGCAGTTGTTTGTTTAAATTATGACAAAAAGCCTGTACCAGAATGGTGTGATGAAAGACTAAAACCTATTGAACAACAAATTTGTAACAATCAAACATGTCCTGGTAAGAATGGAGTATTTTAGATTAAATATGAGTGATAGAGTTGTTAGAGATTGAATTTTAAAGGGAGTTAAATTTTTTAATTTTTTTGGACATGACATTATTTAATAAATATTAGTGATGATCGGGAGAAGAGAAAACCCGGGAAACGGGAGTCGGGTCGGGAAATGATGTCGAGATCGGGATACCCGAGCATCACTAATAAAAATATACTCTTCTTATTATTAAATTTAATTTAATCCTGTCCAATTCAGTCTGCTCAGAAAGCGAATTTGGTTGTTGTCTTGACAATACAACATTCGCAACTGGACAATTCTATGCTGGTTGTTCTAATTGTTCAATTTCTGAATTTGGTTGTTGCTCAGATAATGTAAATAATTTTTTAAACAAAAAAAGATTAAAATTAAATAGATAACAGAAAAACAAGGAAAAGATAATCAGGGATGTCCTGGGAGTGAGGATGTTGATGTGGAAGGTAGTGGAGAGGAACCAATGTAAAAAAAACAAAAAATTCCTTTAAGTATTTAAAATTTAAGTGAGGAGGGAGGGATTAAAGAAGAACTTTGCACACTTGAGAGTCAAACTGGTGAACGATTGCAAATACCTTGTACAACAATTGCCCCATCCGTTATTGTTGGGGATTTGCTTAAAGCGAATGTTACTGAAAATGAAACTATAAATTGCTCTAAAACGGTAAAAGGCTTTCTGGTTTGGTTGTCTTATCAATCTTTAATAAAGGAATTTGGCTGTTGCCCAGATTGGTATACCCCGGCAGAAGGTCCGGAACTTGCTGGGTGTCCAGTCTTTACTTTAGGGACTTGTAATGAAACTAAATATGGCTGTTGTTCTGATGGTGTTACTCTATCCCGAGGGCCAGACTTTCAAGGATGTGGAGAACCTACTTGTGCTGCATCGCTTTATGGATGTTGTAAAGACAGGAGAACAATTGCTTTTGGGCCTAATTATGGAGGTTGTGAAGGGGTTTTTAGAAGTTTTTTAATTTTTGTATTAAAGGCTGTGAACGTAGCAGTCTTTCTTGTGAACTCACCGAATTTGGTTGTTGTCCAGATGGTACAACTCCCGCTTTAGGCAAAAATGGAAAAGGATGTGGGGCAAGTTGTTTATTGACTAGGTAAATTAAAAACAAAATTTTGCTGTAATTTTACCTCTAAATTGAGGTATGGATGTTGTCCTGATGGGATTACACATGCAAAAGGTCCGGATAATGATGGTTGTGGATGTGTATTTTCTCAATATGGGTGTTGTCCAGATGGAAAAAATTCGGCAAAAGGGCCAGGATTTTATGGTAAGAAAATATCTTCCAGAAAGTTTCCTAAATTATTGCCAAGGCTGCCCAGAAAGTTGTGCCCAAAGTAAATATGGTTGTTGCCCTGATGGACAGACTGCTTCTAGAGGTCCAAATAAGGAAGGATGTCCTTGCCAATATTCTCGTTGGGGCTGCTGTAAGGATGGACAAACAACTGCTATTGGGCCACACGAAGAGGGTTGTGATGATTGTAGATATGGAAAGTGAGAAGAATTTGAAAAATAATTTTTTAAAATTATTTCTGAAAAAAGGTACGGATGTTGTCAAGATGGAAGTTCCAAAGCTTTTGGTCCAGACTTTGCTGGCTGCCCGACTACAACTCCAGCACCTTATATGTTGGGTGGAACTGTATCTCCTTCAACTATTGGTAAACAAAAATATTTTTTTACATGATCCTTTTTTTAGTGGCAAGTTGTGGATTGCCTCAAGATCAAGGCCAAGCTTGCTCATCTAGCTATAAACTAGCCTGGTAAATTTGTTCAATATAGGCAAATAAAATTAATTTGTAAGGTATTATGATATGGCAGAAGCTAGGTGTGCACAATTTTGGTATGGCGGTTGTGGGGGAAATGAAGTAAATATTTTTGATAAAAATTTTTAAAGTGTCTATTTTTCAACTATCCTCCAAAATGGGGCTCTATTTTAGGGTCGGGCTCTAATTTAGCATGGGCTTTATTTTAGGAAATACGTACTTTAGGTATTTATTGGACAGGCATAGGCTACCATCTCCTGGCCAGCGATGTCCCAATTCTAAAATCTAAAAGCCCCGATATTTTTTGGGTTGACCAAATTTCAAGAACCGTTTCCTCAAAATGGGATATCACTGCTCTTAGCAGTTCCTATAAGGCGCTTCACTCAAACAAAAATAATTTAAGAATTATTTTTCAGTTAAAATAAAATTGTTAAAAATTATCTTTAAAGAATCGTTTTGGAACTCAAGAGCAATGTGAACAAATTTGTGTTGATCCACCAGGACTTGGTTTTTAATTCATAATTAAATAAAAGATAATTTTATTTTTAAGGTCGGTGTTATTTACCAAAAGTTGAAGGCTCAAAACGTTGTGAACAATTAACACCTAGATATTCTTATGATTATATTTCTAAACAATGTACTGCTTTTTGGCATACAGGATGTTTAGGGAATTCTAATAATTTTCTTTCTTGGGAAGAATGTCAGGTAGAATTTTTGAAAATATTGCTTACCGTAAATGCTGAAATAATGTCCCTCTCTCAAATAGTTATCCCCGCCCTATTAATTACTCCCTATAACCAGAGGTTGAAACAATAATTACCCCTCTCAAAAATAGTTATAATTAGCCTGTATAAAAAAGCTCAAATAATTACCCCCTCCCGTTTAATTACCCCCTCCAGCAAGAAGTTGAAACAATAATTACCCTGGGTAATTATTTTAGCAAATACGGTATTTTATAATGAGCGGATGGAAGGGGGGAATATTACCCCTTTTTGAGAGGCCCCATTTTGGTGATGGAAGGGGGGAATATTACCCCTTTTTGAGAGGCCCCATTTTGGTGATGGAAGGGGGGAATATTACCCCTTTTTGAGAGGCCCCATTTTGGTGATGGAAGGGGGGAATATTACCCCTTTTTGAGAGGCCCCATTTTGGTGATTTGTAAACGGACACCCTGATTCAAACAGTCATGTGGTGTTAAAGTCTGTTTTAGGTACAGCACGATATACCGCATTCCAATCTATTGCAGGGCTTATAACTAGTTTTTTAAATCTCGCTGAGCTAAGTCTGCCAGGCTAGGATTGCGATAGTCCGACTGTCTTTGAAGCACTGCCCGCTTTAGTGTTTTGTCTTCCTATATATTATTTTGATTTTAAATAATTAAAAGAGTTTTTGTGCGGGAGCGGATGCATCACAAGTCCAAGTTAATATTGTTCCATATCGAGGACCTATTCCAATATCTCCACAACATAATCTTCAACCACCTCTAATTCCCCAACAACAATTACCCCAACAACCCCCTCCACCCCCACCACCACCACAACCACCTCAACAACAACCTGTTATTGCCCCTATTGTGCCTTCTATCCCAGAAGAAAGTAGGTTTACATTGTATTTTAAGTAAAAAAAGAATATTAAATATTTTTTAAAAATTAAAATAAATTTGAGCAAAAAATATTGCTAAAATAAACTGCTTGCTGTTTTTATAAATAAGACTTGTAGTTTTGCTTTTCTTAAATAATTTTGCTCTTGATTTTTTAGCTCTAATATTTTTTAACTAATTTAACAAAAAATAAAATAGAATTATATCCAACACTTCGACCTCAACCTTTAATTATACCTCCAAAGAAACCAGAAATTTCTCCATTTGAAGAGGACGATGCTTGTAGAATGATGTTAGATAGTGGAAATTGCCGAAGTTATGTGGTTGGTTTTTAAAAGGAGTTGGAATTTTAAATTTTTGTAAAAATCAGGACTTTAGTAGGTTTAAAATATATTCCTTTACTATATTTTGAAAAAATTTCTGGGCCATCCAGATCTCAATTAAAATAGGAGTTAATTTATTTACACGAAAATATACAAAATCTGGCTCTGAACCTATCCTACCATCTTTAATATTTAAATGGAAAGGGTTTTTTTTAAAGGATTTAATGGGATTAAAATAGTTTTTGAGAGATTATTAATCTCTTATTTAAAAAATTAAATAATTAGGATAAATATTACTTTGATGCATTCAATGGTGGCTGTTTCCGTTTTATTTATAGTGGTTGTGGAGGGAATAGAAATCGTTTTAATACAGAATCAGAATGTACTCAACGTTGTGCACATTTAATTTCATCCCCGACAAAATCTGGATTTTTAGGTAAAAAATTCTTTAAAATTATTGTATAGGAATTAGAAATAATTATATTTGGACGTTTTATTAACTTTAATATGAAACTAAAGCATCCTTTAACGAATATTTAGTTCAGAAGATAAAAGTTTCCAACCAAAAAAGTCTCCCATAAATTTTCATAAATTTATTTTTGAAATTTAAGGCCATAAACAACAATTACAGCCATTACCTTCAGCACACAGAACAAATGCTCCTTTACCTGGAAAACAAGCTTTTTGTAAAAATATTTTTTTAATTTTTGTTTGTTTTTGGACTGTTGTTAATTATGTGGTTTTTGTTTCTATTTTGTTTTATTTTTTTCTTTAACAACCCCTAAAAATTTTGAAATAAAAATACTAATTTTTATTTTTTAAATTAAAATTAAAATATTTCTATTCAAGTAAAAACAAAGGAAATATGCAATCTTCGACCAGACGTTGGCAAATGTGAAGGACATTTCGATAGCTTGTTAGAGCTTCTTTTAAAATTAATTTAAATTTTAAATTTTAGCTATTATGAATTAGCTACTGGACAATGTGAACGATTTACCTATTCTGGATGTGGGGGGAATGGAAACCGATTTAATACTCTTGATGAATGTCAGGTACTTTTTTGAAGACAAAACCTTCCAAAAATTTCAATTTTTTAGGCTGTTTGCCTTCGCCGTCACGATTTCCCCCCTCCTCCAGGCCCACAAACTCCATTTAAAAGTGCTTCAGCATTTGTTCCTCCAGAACCTAGCCAGCCAATAATCCCAGCTGCTGCTGGAAGTATAATACAATTAACTGGGAGGGAAAAACAAAAAAATCAACAACAAATATGTGATTATTCTAAAGAAACTGGGTCTTGTAAACAATTTGTTACTAAATGGTATTACAATAAATCGGATGGAACTTGTAATAGATTCCATTATGGAGGTATTTTTAAATTGAAATTGTTGTTTTTGTTGTTGTAAATGAGTAGTTATTTTTGAGTTAAACGTTAGCCCGAATAATTACCGTATACCTTGTATTAACTGCCCTCCCCTAAATAGTTACCCCACTTTTATTAATTACCCCAATAATTGCCCCCATCAAATGCCCTAAAAACACGTTCAAATCTCATATAATCGCCCTCCCTTGATTAATTACTCTCGCCAACGGAAGGTAGAAACAATAATTACTCTCGGTAGTTATTAAAAGTTTTATAGTATGTATGTTACTGTCACGGCTAAACTTCTTGCTTCTTAAGGATTATCTCTGAGATCTATTCACAGCTAGGGTTTAGGATTTGTGATAAAATATGTCAACTATTCACTAGGTTTTTAAATAAATTTCTAAATATTTCTCCCTTAATCATTGTTCTCCACAATAGGCTCTACATACTAGCAATAACTGATGTAAAGATTAATTAATTTTATCAAATATTTTGTAGGCTGTGATGGAAATTCTAATCGTTTTGATACTGAACAAGAATGTAGAAATACTTGTGGTGATTTTAGAGGTATTAGAAAATATAATTATTTTAAAAATAAATTATTTTTAAAAAAAGATGCGTGTTTATTGCCAAGTGTTTCTGGTCCTTGTGCTGGTAAAGCTGACCGTTATTATTTCGATTTTCACTCAAATAAATGTTCTTTATTCCAATATGGAGGATGTCTTGGGTGGGTAATTTATTGATAAATCGAATCTCATGATAAGATACACACAATACTAGATACATATTTATTTAAGATACTTTTGATTGACACTGAGTGGAGGGACACCTCCCCACCCCCTCCCTCAATTTAAAATATCCCTCACAATTTTTCTAATCTCAACGGTGTATCTTATAGTGTGGTCCGATTATAATTCAAAAATATTTTTTAATTTTTCTTCCTCTTTAACAGAAATACAAACAATTTCCGTACAATCGAAGAATGCCAAGCTCGTTGCCAACCAAGTACTTGAAAAATTTTTAATTTAAAGAATGAATGAAAAGATGGATTTTGGGAGTGGGGAAAGGGGCATATGCCAAAAAAAATTTAAATTTTTAGCGAAATAATTAATTTTCATTTAAGAAATAATTGTTTTTTTAATTTTCTTGCCTCCAATTTTATGATATTTTCTGTGCCGTTCCATTTTTAATTTACTTAAATTTTGTTAATTTTTATCAAGTGCTGTTTATTATTACAAATTTTTTTGGTTAAAATTTTTGGAAAACATTTCACACCATAACCTAGTATTAAAATAAATTCAGCACTTGATTTATTTTTTCTCTCACTTGCAATTTTTTTCTAAACTTGATATAAAATATTTCTTAAATTAATTGATTAATGTTTAAAAATATAATTTTCTGTAAGAAGCCTTTCCCCACTCCTTCCAGTCTTTTAAAAAATTAAAATTTAATTGATATTTCTGAATAGGTTTGTCGTTCCTGGAAATTCTTCGGATATCCGGAACCGAACCGAGGACGAACCGTAATTCCTCGGTTCTTCGGTTCGGTTCGGTCCAGAACCGACAACCTTATTTCTGAGATTAGAATTAAAATTGAAAGGATAACTCAAAGAAAATTTTATATTTAAAAATATTCAACAGATTTAAAAGGTCGAAGAAGACGTTCCTTGTTATCAGAACAACAATTTGTGGAAATAAATAATAATTCAAATACAGATAATTTATTAATTAATAAAAATGAAAAGAATATTTTGAATAAGCAAAAGGAAGATGTTTTTGTAGATGAAAAAGAACAAGAAGAAGAAATAGGAAAGGAAAAGGAAGATGAGGAGGAAGGAGGATTGCTTTATGGACAATTACCTGGTTTTAAATCTTTAAAAATTTTAAGAGGTTCTCCCAAAGTTATTGAGAGTTCTTTGTAGATTCTATTCCAAGAAGTGTGACACTAGTCTAAATTATAAAACAAAAAGTTTTTTGATGCTAGATAACATTAGTAATATATAAGGCATTGTACTAGGCATAATTTTCAATATGCTCTTCTATTTGCCCCGCAAATTTCGATGTGTATATTTCGACCATAACTTTTTTATAAAGACACCCCCATCGGACATTCATTCCCCTACTACCCGAAGTCTCACTTTTAAAACGCTACCTTAATGTTTTTGAATAAGTAAAGCAGCTGGGCTACAGCTATTTCTCTCCTTTAGCTAGTACAAAAGGTTAATCGGCGGTTGGGAGCGAACACCACGCCGTCTACTGCGTAGCCTTAGGAATTAAATAGCTATATGCTTTACAAATATTATCTTGAAATTTTTTTATTTTTAAGAACTTTGCCTTCTGCCAGAAGAAAGAGGGAAATGTTTTGGGGAAATACTTCGTTTTCGTTATGATATAGATAAAAATGATTGTGTCGGTTTTTTCTATACTGGATGTGCACAAAATGTTAATAATTTCCTTTCATACGAATCTTGTCTTCGTGCATGTGGAGATTGGAAAAATAAAAATATTTGTGAATTAGAATATAATGGGGGAAGTAAAGAATGTGAAAATGAAAATAAAGAAAATAATTTTGGATTAATTAAAATACAAAAATGGTATTATGTTCCGAGTGAAAGAAAATGTAAACTTTTTATGTGGAATGGATGTGGAGGGAATGGAAATAGATTTCAAAGGTTTGGAAATAAAATAAGTAAAACAAAAATATTTATTGTTAATTAAGTAATAATTTTAATCCAGAATTCGAATTTTGGGTGTTAAATAAAGTGTTTGTAAAGTCTTATTTACAGGCTGGTAAATAGTTCTCTATCAGTATGAAAAATTTTATTAGTGGAGTGTATTAAAAATAAAAGTAAAAAAAATTAAAGTTATCTACTCAGTAAATTTGAGTAGAAATTCTTAAAAGGGGGAATGTTTTCTTTAATTGTCAACCTTGTTAATAATACAATTACTACAAAAATTTTCATTTTTTTCCTCTTCCAGTAAAATAATAATTATTAAATATTTTAAGTAAATCAGAATGTGAAAATCTGTGTAATCGTGAAATTGATATTTATAATCAACAATTAAATATATGCCAATTACCCATGGATGGAGGGCCTTGTGAAGATTTTGTTTCTCTTTGGTATTTTGATTATTTACTGAATCAATGCAGAAGGTATTTTCAAAACTCTTTAAATCCCGGATTAAAATTAATTAAGGGAATTTTTGAGATAAAATTTAGCCAAAAAAATCAGTTGACATTTTTGATTAATATCGAAATTGAAAACATTGAAAAATCAAATCGAGCTGTATACTAGAGATCGAGATTAGAGCCCGGACGGAGGGCTCGGTCGATATTTTTTCGATAAATATCGAAAAATACCGAATATCGAAAAATATCGAAAAACCCAAAATTTTCTCGGTCGATATTTTTTTCGATAATACCGAAAAATATATATCGAAAAATACCGAAAAATATCGAAAAAATATCGTATCGAGCCGGGCTCTAATCGAGATTGTTGAAAAGCCTGGACCTGTTCCTGGACTCTGGTTTTGATTTATTGACTTGGACTGGATTTTGGGCCTGTAGTCCAGGAAAAACCCAGGCCCAGGAAAAACACAGGGGTGTCAAAAAAAGCCTGGACCTGTCTGGGTACAGGAAAAACCCAGGCCTTGGTCAAGGTCCAGCTTGATCACTACTGTGTACTAATAGTAGTATAAATATTTAAAATTTAGATTTACTTTTGGTGGTTGTCGTGGAAATTCTAATAGATTTTTAACTGAAGAAGATTGTTTATTAAAATGTAATAATTATAAAAATAATTTAACAACAATTAATAATCAACAATTAAATATTAAACAACAAAAAACAACACCAATTTCAATAAATTCAAAACAAATCCCAAAAAGAGCAAAAATCTTTGTTTTTCCATTAGGAACTTTAATTGAGGGAAATAATAATAATTTAAATTTTAAATGTTTAATTGAAAAAGGAGAAGAAAATAATGAAAATAGAGATTTCTATTGGTATAAAAATGGAATGGAATTTTTGAATGGAAATTTTGAGAATAGTAATGGACGTTTTATGTTACAAAAGGTAAATAAAATATTTATAGAGAAAATTTAAAAATTATTTCGTTTAAATTTTAATAAATTATGAAAAAAACACAGTACCACCGTTCAAATTTCAAAACTCGAATAATCCTCCTTTAATTAATTACACTCTCTAACGAGAAGTTAAAACAATATTCGGAATAATTACCTATTCAATAAAATACAAAAATTAATTTAAATTATAATTTAGACTGAGAACTTTTTAGTAAATATTTTAGAAAATCATTTTAAAATTAGAGGGTTTCGATTTTGGATGATTAGTAAAATAGGAAAAAGTCATTTTTTAATTTTCCGGAATTTCTTTTTTCTTTTTCAATTTCTCTTTCTCCCCTCCAACTATTTTAACAAATTTTTTAATTTTAAAATTTTATCAAATATTTACACATTTTTATTTTTTAGATTGTTTCAAATAACAGTTTAATAGGCGAATTAAAATTAATTAATATAAATATTCAAGACAAAGGTTTATATTCTTGTGCTTATGGAGATTCTTTAATTTCTGAGGAAATAAAAATAAATATTATTAAAAATGGTAGTATTTTTAATTTTAATTTAAATAATTAAATTATAGATTTAATTAAAAATATTTATTTACAAAATTGTATTGAAGAGAAAAGATTTGAACAAGTTTGCAAAAATATATTAAATTTAGGTTTATGTAATACTTTACGTTATGGAAGTTTTTGTTGTAAAACATGCAAAAAATAATTATTTAAATTTGAATAAACCTCTTATAATTTGATAAAAATTAATATTTTAATATACTGTAAATACTTTTTTATAAGCCCTTGATAGGTATCCACGTTAATCCAAATTTAAAAACCCGGTTTTCGGTTTTGAGTTTTAGTTCCGGTTTCCGGCTCTAGTTAAAAATCCGAAACTAGAATCTAGCAAATTTATTATAACGGATATACCTCTATAAAGCCAGCACCAACGAAGGAGTGAAATCCTGGTCTGGCAATTGGGGTTTCGGTCTAGTATAGGATTGGTATGGGGCTTTTGTTAATTCCTTGCACATTTATGATACAGTGATTTTTTCATCCTTCTAAATCGCCTTTATTTCTCCAATTCCCCAAATGTTTCAATATACTTCTAACAATAAGCTCTGATTCTCTTGATTTCAGGGAATTAGGATAGCGGAGGGATTAAAGGGATATTGGTGATACTTAGGAGGTTATCAGGATTATGAGAGATATCGGGGGATTAAAATGATTATGTCAATATGGAGCAGATATCGAGGGATTTGGGAGGATTAAGAAGGACAAGGATTAGGAGAATCTGCTTAGATATAGAAGGATCTCATGGTATCACTTCAAACCCCCTGATAGTACGGATCCAAAATCCAGTTTCACGACAAATAATTAAAATGTATTTTTATATGAATTTATTCTAAGAAAAGGAATTACGGCAAAATATACAAATGTCTAAATCTTCTACAAAATGCATTAATGCAACTACAACTAATATCACAAAACGTAGAATACAAAAATAAATGTTAAATCATATTATATCTAGGAAACATTGACAGCCGTTCGTTGGAGAAGAGCCAAACGCTTTCTTCGTCCACAACCGCAGCTTCCTCCACATCCGCCACCACCGCCGCCTCCTCCGCAGCCACATCCACCACCGCCGCCTCCTCCGCAGCCACATCCACCACCGCCGCCTCCTCCGCAGCCACCTCCACAGCCACATGGTTGTGGTGGTGGTCCGCCACAACAACATCCTCCTCCTCCGCTTGAACAACTTATTTTCAGCGTAATTGTTGTTGGTGGCCGTTGACATTCACATCTTGGTGGTTGTGGACATTCACATCTTGGTTGAGGACAATCACATTTTGGTTGTGGGCATTCACATCTTGGTTGAGGACATTCACATCTTGGTTGAGGACAATCACATTTTGGTTGTGGGCATTCACATCTTGGTTGTGGGCATTCACATCTTGGTTGTAGGCATTCACATCTTGGTTGAGGACAATCACATTTTGGTTGTGGGCATTCACATGTTATTGGTGGTGGGGGTGGTGGTGGACCACCGCATCCACATCCTCCACCACCACCACAACACTGTTTTTTCATTCTTAGACCTCTCACGAGTGATGGAAGAAGTCTGGGACAAATTTTGTTTATCAAAATTTATTAGCTAATAATGTCTGCTTACATATCACCGTTACCAAAAAGGCCAGCATTTATTTCATTAGCAATTAAAATAAGCGATAGTAAAGTAAAACAAAGGCTATACTTAGTTTTAGTCATTTGAAATATTTTAAAAAAACTTATTGTAGTTATTTAACTTTGGAAGCTATTAATGTTTGTATTAGACTGATTAACCTCAGCTATTTATATCCAAATTTTTGGCCAAAAATGGTTTTACAGTTTAGCAACATTAAGAGCATTAAAAGTGAGACCATGGAAAAAGTTTTACCTTCAAAAGTTTTATTGCCATCTTAAACCATGTAAAAGAGATTAAACGTTTAATTTTAGCCAAAAATTGTTTTACAGTTTATTATTTAATCAGTTTTTTTAAAAGAAAAAATATTCCACATACATATATTTCCCCATTCTCTTTTAGATAAATAAAAAACGGCATTTTACGATGTTGCTATATTTTAGCTAAAAAAGCAATAATTTTAGTAAATAACGGGTTGGTTACAGGTCTATAAAATTATTATATCTATGTTTATTTTACTTGTAATTTGTTGTGTTCTCAAAGAAATTTTTAATAATAAATATTTTTAAATATTTTTGGTCTCACTCCATTCGGTAAATGTCTGGTTGATGTCCTACCTGAAATTTTGAAATAACCTTTTGGAGGTGCTGTGGGTGTCCCAAGTTTCTTATTTACTTTACTCGGTTACTACGATGGCTATTGATAGGTTCTTACGTTTATTCTAAAAATGAGCACTCTAGGAATTTAGTATAAGTATCCTCATCGGAATCCAAAACATCTCTTGCTATGCTTGAAACAATCAAAAACTGGTATATTTTTAATTCCTGACAGTTTATCTTTAGTTTATAAATGTTTATCTTCTCTTATGTTAGCAACAAAAAATCGTTATTGAATACAATGATAAATTTTTTTGATTAAACATTCCCCAAACTAATCCTTCCATTAACTAATTTTAAACAATTTTATCCAAAAAATTAAATATTTTCCACAATTTAATTAATAACAATCCAATTATTTTTAGTCCCAAAATTATTCAAACATTCCTCATATTTACTTTCTGTATACCATTTACCATCACAAATAAAACAAAATTCATGTCGACCAACAGGTAATTCTACCAAAACACCTTTTTTATTTGGTTCTCCCTTTATTGGATCACAAATTAATGCACATTCCCAATTTAGAAAACTTCCCTAAAAATAAAAAAAAATTATTTTAATATTAGTCTTCGGCAATTCTTGGTATAAGAGAAATAATGACTTGGCATTAATGATACCGAAAATATCCATTTACCGAGAATTAGTTAAATATAAATTGCGGTAATTAGAAGGAATACTAATGAATTATTTTGGAAGGAAAAAAAGATTGGGATCGTTATTGAATCTAATCAACATTTATCCTTTACAAAGCACATATCCTAGCCATAATTCTAACAACTTTACTTGAACTCATTAACTATT